GGTCCTGATCTTAATTTTACCCTGGATACTGGCTAGCAGCCAAGTGATTGGCCCCATTTCCGGTCTGTTCCCAAAAGGAAGTTTCCACAATTCCCTCGTTGTTGCCAATCGGATAGAATAGAGAGTGAGTGGGTCTCTTCGTTAGGACCCAAATACGGGAAGAGAGAGAGGGAGAGAGAGAGAGAGAGAGAGAGAGAGGGCCGAAACGAGGAAGAAGCCCCCGAAAAGGATGAGCAAGAGCTGGTACTCATTGTGGTTACGAGTCCGTGACTAGTTGCCTATCCCCTGGGGCACCCAGTAGCAAGAAATAACCCAAAAATGAGCCCGAAACAGCGAGGAACAAAAAGTGGGAAGGTAGGAAAGTGTATAGGACGCGTGGCTGGGAAGTTTTCGCACGAAAATTTCACAGTAATTCTCTTAAAACTAACATTATCTTTGTTAATTCAGCTTCCCGTCTGCCAATTTGTGGTTTGCAGTAAAAAATCTATCGTAACCACTTTAAAATTGAGTAGAAGCGACTAACAGCGCAACTGGGTGCCAATTTTCACTTTTTGCTTAAAAAATTGATTCTAACAAATCTATAATTAAAGTTCATTACTTATATAGATGTTTTACATGCTGCCAGTTTAACAGTTTCAGTTGAAAAACCTAAACCACTTACTTTTGAATTTAAAGCCAGACCGTCAGAATGAAATATCTGGCTCCGAGATTGGCTAGGTCAACCCTCGCTAAAGTGCACTTATCGGGGAGGGGGCTTATTGTTAGGGGAACGGGCGAACGGCTTCCCCCCCTAACATCATAAGGACAGGGTCCCAATATTTCCGGTTGAATACCCATGAAATAAGCAGAACAATAGGGGTGGAGAGACTACAAAGTGGTTCCCGAGACTTATTGACCACCAGAACAACATTCATCGTTTCTAAATCGCTAATTTTATATTTAAAGCAATTTTTTAGTTAAACTGTACCATCGATTGGTCAAAAATTCAAAAAACGAGTCATAAGACCGCACTAGGATTTTTTCGGGGCTCAAATTTGTATTTTCGAGAACCCACGGGATAATTAGCCACGAGAGTCTGCTAAAAAGGCATTATAATGAGGCATAAATATGATAAGTCACTCCACTGGCAACCCATGAAAACAATTAAATTTTTCCGGATAGGGCCTACCAAAAGAATCTCTGCTAGACGACCGTTTGGAAAATCGGCAGAATTCCTAAAAATCCTAAAAAATCTCTGCAAATTGCCAGGAGGATAGTGTCATTTTGAAACCGAAAATGAAGTGAAAAAGACAGTTTTTCTCAAAAACCCAAATTCCGAAAGAATCCCGGCTAGCCCTCAAAAATCATTGATGCCCCGTCCCGATGTCGTGACTACAATAAAATGATGCTCCCCGTCGATGGGGAGAGCATAGAAATTCAGAATGTGTGTGTGGAAGAGGGCATCCATGCATATTCTCTCTCTCAAATAGACAGACAGACAGACAGACGATGTCCCTTTTCGAGGGGGCTATGGACTGGCCATGGCCCTCTTCTTTCAACCCCCAAAAGAAAGAAAAAGATTTTTTGATTTCTAGAGAGAAGGGGGAAGAGATAAGTGGCCGCCATTCCATAGCCATAGCCGGCCCTTCCTCTTTTGACCTCTTCCTCCTCTACTACTTCCTCTCACTTCAAAAGATGACTACGAACGCCCCAATCGAACAGCTCCAAAAAAAACCGGAGGTGCGTTGCAAAAAGGAAAATTTAAAACTGGGTAAAATGACTGCCAGCTGACCGACTGGTGAAGAATTTTTAGCTGTCGTAATTGGAATTCCTTACAACCTACATAGAAGTGCGTGAAACTTCATGGCCCATGGTGAATGAACAAAAACATCTAAACCATCATTTCCTAGCGTAATTGGATAACGAAAAATACCGTAATCTAGCCGATAGGTTTTCAAAACGCCATTGAAAATTTTGAGTATGTTTTGAAGCCCAAACTGAAGCGAAAAATTTGATGGGAAGCCGTCGAAAGGTCAGAAATTCTCCAAAAACACGCCTCTCTTCAAAATCGACCCCAGAAAAATGTTGACAAGCTGCCGGTTTGGCTAGTGTCGAGTTTTCAACCCTCTAAACTACCAAAAACGTTATTCTGACGTCCAATTAGCCCTACCGTAACTTAAATACCAAAAAATGTGCAAAAAGCGGAAACAAAAACTCGGTCGAAAGCGTTCGCGTTCAGTGAAAAGGATACGTGAGAAGGAGGTGATCCTATGAAGCAACATGTGCCGGCAATGGGCCACAAACCTGAGCACTTTTTGTCGCTCTTTCTACCCTAGCTAAGACGCTTCTTTTAGATGCTTTGAGCCTGGAAAAACAGATGGAGAGAGAAAAAATTCCGCAATGTTGCAAGTCTGTGTTAAAATGTTCTCGAGCTTTTCGTCACGCAGCTTCAGGGATGCGTTTTGTAATTTGCAGTTTTTTGAAACACTGGCATTAAGCCTTCTGACACACATACGATCATTCAAAATAGTTTTCCTGGTTCCAGATTGTAGTTTGAAGTTATGCCGTTTTTAGAAACACTGGAATTGGGTCATCTGGCACCATTTGGATGCTTCAACCTGGCTCTCCGAACCCCTGTTTGTGGTTTAGAGTGATGCAGCTTTTTTTAAAATATGTTCACGCCGATTTGAATGGTATTTTATTACCGTTTCGAATCACGCCCTTACCTGCCAATTTGCAAGGATTTATGCCTAAACCAACGCCCGAATAACGAACATCGAACCTGTGAGCCGAAAGGGGGTGAAGGGGCGCGCGCAGCGCCTCCAGACTATGCAAAAACGGCTGGCTGTCAGCAATGCGTGGCACACAACAATCTGGAGGAACCACCCAATGAAGAAAGATGACGATTGCATTTCGTTTCTCCACCCGCAGGCACTCTGGATGTGATCATGATCTGGCACTGATGATTCGCACAGATGGGTGAAATGACCGGGGGTTGCGGCCTGAAGTAAAAAAAACTACATAACCTGCATAACGTCAAAGTAAGATTTAAAGGTGTAAAAGCATTCTGAAATTGTTGGCTGCGTGCCAGAAGAACCCATCCCATCGTTTAAAAAACTGCATATCTTCAAACTACAAAATACTTGGCTGAAGAAATCGATAGCTGGCCGGTCAGAGAAGCTGAGAGACCGCTAATCAAACAAAACAAATACTGCTTAACTCCAAATAGAAAATGAATCCAAAAACTAGAGTTATTACATGTTGTTGCTTGTCAAAAATGACAATTCGATCGGTCGCCGAGTTGATCTTTTTGAAGGGCGGAAATCGGAGACGGGCCCACACCTGTTCAGTCATGAGAAAAGAAGAAGCAGTGGGAAAGGGGCAGGAGAAAGGAGTAAAGGGTACGAAACATTTCAAATTACATTTTGAGAAAACCGATATCAAAAAATTGTAAAATATCAGCAACTCGGTCAAAATTAAAATCCTGACCCTGGCTTAATAAATGAGGCAAACAAAATCCATGAATTTTATGTTTTTCACGATTTTGATGAATTGCTATTTATTCTGACCGTCATACTGTCGAATAATGAATATTTTATTGCCTACATCGTCCATATTTTATTTGTCAACCACTCGAATGTCAAATGGGTGTCTCGAGCCAAGTTCTACTGTCCTGCCACTCTTCGAAACGATCCATCGGTTCCATTCCACCATCGCCCCATCCGTGTATAGATGGCATCTCTCTCGCTCTCTCTCTCTCTCTCTCTCTCTCTCTCTCTCTCTTGCCTCAGCTTGTCGAAATCCCCTCCCTTCAGAAGAAGTAGATTAGTATCTCCCTAGAAGTGTGTCGAAGAGAGTGTGAAGGTTAGTCTCGGCTCGACGCGGGCCACACTTTCCCTTAAAACTAACATTCCGAATCGGAAGGGTGGCTGGCAAAAACATCGAAAAGCGCCGAGAAGCCTTGGCTTTTGGTCAAAAAAAGCGAAAAATCAGGGATCTGCGATGCTACCGGCAGGATATACGTCGACCATTTGTAATCAAACTAAGATATTGAATTCCTATAATGAAATCGGCGACAGTTAGTACCCAGAATTAAAAATAAGCACTAAGTTTCATAAAATTCCCGATTTCCTAATCTCGTTGCATGCAAAAATCGATTAAGAACTGCCAGATGCCAATGTCTTGTAAATAAAAAGTAAATTGTCATATTTTGTGTATCTTACGTATTTTCACGTTTTCTGTTACGAAATACTCTTATATGGCACCCAAGGAACCTCTTAAACTTGCGCAACACCTTATCGAGCTTTTCCAACGGTTATGCAGGTTATGCAGTTTTTGCCAACCCGATCTTCATACGACCCTCCAAAATCCGTTAAATTGTCATACTTCCCAAGTCTCATGAATCTACCCCCCCTTCTGTCATAAAACACACCTTACTGGCTACGATCCTACCTTTTAAACTTGCGCAACACGTTATACAGTTTTTTCCGAAGTTATGCAGTTTATGCAGTTTTACGGAATTTTACGGATCTCGACCCCGATCTATCCCCCTAATGCCCCACCCCAAATCCCTGGTATACAAATATGAGCGGGGATTGGTGGAATTCCCTGCAGCTTCTTCCTTTTCCCCTCTTTTTGCTCTTCCATTCGAATGCCACCCCTTCCTCCCCCTTACGAACCGATACTCGATCCACCCCCTAGATACCTCCACCCCCTCCCCCCACCCCGTCATAAGCATTTAGCAGCACAAGCGGCTAGGAGGTGTTCCATTTGCTCCACTACTTGCCAGTTTACACTTCTAGCTCTTCTTTTTTGTTTAGGGTCATTTAAAGGGACCGGCAAATCAGATTTTGTAGGCTGACCGCTTACTAGTTAGTTACTTTCGGTCGTAAATTTCTTTATATTTATTTTTATAAATTATAACGCTTTTTTCTTGTCTTTTATTGTCCAGTTGCATCCTAACGTAGAGTCTCAAGTTTCTTTAATTTTTCCTGGTTTTTACAGCTTCATTTTTCTAGGACATGAACCGAGAAAGGGGACGGCTGCGTGTGGCCGTTGTGGCTGCTATTGTCACGTAGGATTTTGTATTTTGTAGTTAAATAGCTTTTCTGTTAAACTGGCATAGAAGATATAGCATAAATAACTGAAAAGTATTTTTTTAACTTAACTTTATACTTTTGATTTTTTGAACTTGGCCGGCAAAGACGTTGGCGCGTGCTTGTGCCCTAAATTCCAAAAATTTCCTAAAAAAACACCCCGATCCCAATCAAAAGGAATTTTCCATAAAAAGCCGTTCGTGTGTGTGCCACCAAGGGAAGGAAGGGGTGCCTGCCAGCCGCTTCATCCCCCCCACGGCCTCCGAATTTCAGTTTTTGCTCGCCTTTCTCTTCCTCGCTCATCCTCACCTCCCATAGCCGTTCTTTTTGTGTGGAATCGAATCCGGCCAGTTGGCATACACTGCCAATCAACAAATACACGAAAAATAACTAGCGTCTTTTATATGGAGGCCAGGCTACAAAATACAAAAGTTTGGCGAGCATATCCGACTTTTTGGGGAAAACTGCATAACTTTAAATGGGTCTGGCGTCGGTTTGGCGATGTGGCAGAGGTCATTTGGGATCCAAAAAAGGCTAAAAATTCAGTTAAAAGTTACAAATATCGTCTCCAAAATACGGATGAGAGATCGGACTTTTTGAAGCAAAAACTGCATAACTGCATAACCGAAAATTAGGTAAAATTAAAATGATGCGACGGGCAATGGGTTATTTAGGATCCAGAACAGCTAAAAAAAAAGATCAAATGACAACTATTGCCTACAGTACCCCTACCATCCCCTTAAATTTCAGCATGGCGATGGCATATCCCCAGATGCAGAATGATATCTACAGAAAACGACTCCCTTCATTCCTCACCGCCAGTCGACCACAAAGGAGGAGGTTAGTCTTAGCTATTTTAACTTTATAATTCTTCATTTTCGATGATTTGTTTATGCTGATTTTGTCTTTCTGACCTCCATACTATCGTTTTGTTTTTGTGGCAGATCGGACTTTTTGAAGCAAAACTGCTTAACCTAAAACCAGATAAAATAAAATTTTCGAATTTTTATCCGTTATTTTTGTTTTATTCTCAAAATCCTTTGAAACTGCTATTCATTAAAACCCTTGCCTCGATCTGCGAACCGTTTCCTTCCCATTCCGCGTTAATTTATGGCATCAAGGGCGAAACGCGAATTCGAACTTGTTCGCCCTGTCGGCAAAGGGGATCATATCAGTTTTTTCATGCTTTTCCCCCGGGGGGCTGGGGAACGGATCATTTAGCGGGCAGGGGAACGCTGAATGTGGCTGCCAATACTGATGATGTACTGTGGGTAGATAGTGTTAGGTGGAATGGCACGTAGTCATTGAAGGGGAGGATCGTAAAACAACACTAAGGCGATAATAACTGGCTAGAGATTGGTCATAGGAATACTGTAGGTTTACAGTCTTTATTTTTGGCTCACTGGCATGCAGGTAAGCTAAAAATCAGCAACAAATATTCGGAAATCGCTTAAATAGTGCATGTAGTTTTTTCTTGCCGATTTTCGGTGTTTTGGGGCCGAGATGGGTCGCAAATATACTTTAAGACTATTAACTTTATTTTTGGCCTTCCTGGTCTGCAAAGAAGCTAAAATCATCAGAAAAATTTTTTAAAATGAGCTTTAATAGGTTATGCAGTTTTTCGGCTTTCCCGGACAAGCCAAAAATCAAAAAATTCCAGTTTTTCGAAATTTTCTTGAGTTATACAGTTTTATCAATCGAATTCCACTAATTGTCGTATGCCGACCCTTTCATCGCGAAAATTTTTGTTCCAAGACTCCGGAATAGGTTATGCAGTTTTCGGGGGTAAATTAGAAAGTCGTTGATTTCGCTGGTTGGTGCCGGCTGGCAGGGTGATTGCGGTGATCAGCAGAAAAAGAGAGAAGCGAGTGAACGCCCGGATTCGGACAGGGGAACGGGCAGATAGCCCGGATATAGCCTGTGGATACAAAAAGCCTGCCATCCAGTGATGATTGGAGATGAGGATCACTACAGAAAACTGATATCCGTTTGAACCAGCTTTTGGTGAAAGGTTTATCTGGATCTCTCTCACCCTCACTCTCTCGCTTTCTCTCTCTCTCTCTCTCTATTTCTCTCTCTCTCTCTCTCTCTCTCTCTCTCCCTCTCGCAAACCCAGTGACGCATGACAGCTAAAAGGCTCGAAAAGTTTCGAAAATGTACGCTACTATAAAAAATATTATATTTACTATTTAGTGTGAGTGAATATGGCCCTCCAGCCCATGTTCCAATCTACATCAATCCCTATCCACAAGTCCCAGAAGATTCATCCTCAAAAGAAGATCGAGGCCCCGCCCCTCCTGTTGATGGATATCAGAATTTGATTCTGGGGGATGTAAGTTAATACTATTTTTGAAAAAAATATTTGATTGTAGAGGGAACCAGCCCAGCAACAGCGGGATCAACCGCCAGCTAGGGGACCTGCGCCGCCAAAGGTATCGTAATTTTGGCTTTAAGACGGTTCAAGACGCTTTTTTGCAAAGATTACGGTATTCTGGCTGGTAGAATCAGACTAAATTCAAACTGAATATTTTTTAAGTAGTGTACGGTATTGACAAGAGCGAAATCTAAATTGATTAAATTTCTAGTTACAAACGAATTTTTCAAAAGTGAAAGACCGTATTCTGGTAGGTAATATCGAAAGATGTCGATATCTCGGGCAAAACAATTTAAACTACCTTCAGAACGCCCACCCCCAACAATCTCGCCTTGACGAAATCGCTCGCCAGGTCCAAAAACTGCTCCAAGACGATCAGGGCAACGTCGACCTCAACAAGGTCCCCAAACCCGTCAACAAACCCGGTAGCAAGGTACGGACAAAACAGCTGTAATTTGCCATTGTTACTTTTTCTCAACAATCCGATTTTTCCAGGCGCCGGGCTTCTCCCCGAAACGCCGAAATACGATGAGGGAAGCTGAAAACATGTACGTTCACTAAACAATAGCTGCCAAATTATGTAATTTTCAGCGTGAAACGGTCGGGCTACGAGGCAGTACCAAAGACACGCACCAATGATGGGCTGACCATTCACTCGTCTGGATATAACTTTGATGGAGAGGATTTGCCACCGGTAAGTGTAAGACATGATTCGATTACGCCATATAAATTGGCAGACAACAGTTTTCAAGTTAGGTTTAGTTAGAAAATGTAGTTTGCAGGTCAGAATTGACAAAGGCCATATATTCTTGATTCCATATGGTTTGTAGACTCCAAAAACGTACAAAGCTACAAAAATCCCCTTATTTAGATACCAGTTTGTACAAAAATTCCAGGTTTTAAAGATTGTGGTTTGTAGCCAGGAGAAAACTTGATAACTAGCCTCGAATTTGTGGTTTGTAGGACCGATTAGCTAAAAAAATGCTATTTTGAATTTTTTATGGTTCTAAAAAAGGCTCTAAGACCTGCTAAAAACCATAAAAAACGATTATTGATGTGAAATTTCAGATATAAATCCGTATGTTTTTGTTCCCTATAGTTTGTTGGCTATAATGATCACGTTTTTAGACTGAAACGGGCTCCCCTTCGTACCCGGCTGATGAACCTGACCAGTCGAACTATGGAAACAATAATGATGGAGATGATGGAATCGATGAAGGAGAGAATACAAATGAAGGAGGATATCCAAGAATACAAAAGGGATATCGACAGAAAACCACAACTACGACCACCACTACGAGGAGACCAACGACGACCACAAGGAGGACAACTACCACACAGAGGACGACGACGACGAGGAGGACTCCTGCGCCTACTACGACGAAGAGGCCCGCGCCACAGAGGTAGTTTTTGGTTGACCAAAAACTGAATAACCTAAAAATGCGAGCTATACGTTTAAATTTTCAAGGATTGGAGCGAATGGGTGCCAGTTAAAAAGTAGCTCTCGTGAAAACTGCATAACTTGGATTAGCAACCTATAGGTTTAATTTTGATAGTTTTAGTGGGAATGGGTGCCAATTGGAAAAAGTGAAAACTGCATAACTTTATAAAGTGAATTCTAGAGCCGATCTTGGGAATTTTAGCGTAGGTTGACGCCAGTTTAAAAATAGGCCTCGCAAAAAATGCATAACTTTAAGACACGTTTTAAAAATTTGATTTTAACATTTTCGGGGCACTGGAGGCCAGTTAGGGGATATTGATCGAAGAAAACTGCATAACCTATTTAGAGACATTAACAACATGAGTTTAATATTTTCGGTTCCCCAGCTGCCAGTACGAAATCTTCGATGATAAAAACTGCACAACCTAACCGATAATAGTACAAACTCGATTATCGTCTCAACCAAACAATTCGCCACCAGAAAAAGCCAAAACCTCGGAAAAACTTGGAAAACACGCCAATATTCTGAATTTCAGGGCGACGACTACACAGGAATACGATGCCCCTCCAGTAGCACATCCACCAACCACCACTCAACCCCCAATTGATGAGGGATACGGTAATCCCGTGACAACAACTGCTGCCGGATATGAGGCAAATCCTCCCGCTGCCAGACCAAAGAATGATGATGGATATGGAGGAGAGACTGTCACTGATGGACCATCGGAGAGTTATGATGAAGTCACTGAGGCTGCTGCTCCTGCTCCTTATGGAGGAAATAACATTCAACCAGGTCACTTTAAGGCTATAGATCTTTAATGGGATACAGTTAGGAGAGAATCCTACTTTAGACGATGCAAAAATTTTTAATAGCTGTCAGATAAGATTTTTAACGCTTTTTATAACTATTCTGACAAGCAAACAATGTAAAAATAATAAAATTACATTTTTAATGTCCTTTTTCAGAGCACCAGCCACCTGTTGACCAACAATACGAAGAAACGCACAAAGTAGACCCGTATGCGGCATTGGCAGAACATTCGAGTGGTACTCCACCCCCATTGGGAGCTCATGATCTGCTGTCATTGGATGCGAAGGCATATGTTGAAGAACATAAGAGAATGCAGAGGGCTATGGCCAAGAAGATCTATTCTGAGATGAGGAGACAACTCAAGAGAGAGGTATCTAGAAAAACTGCATAACTTTGAACTTGGATTTTTGAGGGATTTTTGTCGGGATTTTGTTGATTTGTCATCCAATTTGGTCACAGTGACCCAAAATATTTGTTTTGAAAAAGTAAAAACTCCAAAAATCGAACCTCCCCTTTTAGCTGGGCTTCGGCGAGTCCCTGTCCGCCTCCTCCGATGCTGAGCACGAGAATGAGGAGAAGGACGCGAGTGCTGAGAAGCTGAAGGGAGCCGAACTCCCAGCATTGGTCAGTTTTATAATCTACTAGACAATGATGCCAAATACCCAAAAATTGTGTCGAAAAATGTGAATCTCGAAAATTTAGGCCGGCTACCAGGGGCCTGAGCCAAGCGGATATGACAGTGCGGTCCCAGCCCCGGAACCTACTACCGTACACCCGGATACTGGATACGGTGGAGAGGAGACTACGGTAGCTGAGACGACAATTGCCCCGGTCACCCTGCCCGCTCATATCCGCACTATTGTCGCCAATTTTGCCAAGCAAATGGAGAAACAGGTGAATCGATTACGACAGGAAATTAAGAATTAGGGGGGATCACAAGATTCCGCGGTGTTCGTGAGTAGGCTGGCGGATAGTGCGCCAGACGGCGGGGTGCAGACACACAGGGGGGGGGGGTGGGGCGTGGAATAGGCGGCGAAAGAGTGAGACTAGGCTATAGGCCACGGGGAAGAGAACAGGGGGCGGGGCCAGAGCGCAGATTCTCCCTTCCCCTGTATGCCTGCCATCCTGTCGCGGTCAAACGAACACAACCGGTAAAGGGCGGAATGCTGTGGGATATTGCTTCGAAATTTTCTTTTGATAATTATGGACGCCAATTAACGAAAATCAAGGATTTAGTTTCGATCTTTATGAATAGATTTATAGGAAGTTTCAGGCCAAGAAAACTCGAGCTGAGGCTTCCGGCCAGGCCACCACGCCCAAGGAGTTCAGCTTTGATGGATCGGCTGATCGTGTGAGTTAAATATTAACTGACTGTAACATGTCTTTAATTGCTAAAAATTTAAATTAACTATTTTTCTAAAAATAACATTTTTTATTTTAACATTTTGAAAAATAACCTTTTTTCGTAAGAGCGGCTTTAAAAAGCAGAAAAACCGCATAAAGTTGTTAAGTAAATTTTTATAACGTTTTAAAGGTCACGACTCTTTTATCTGGAATACAATAATACAATTAGTAAAACTAAATTAAAAAAAATCAATTACAATAAAAAAATGGACATTTTAGGCAACCCCGGCAACCCCCTCTGATGGCTACGATACCGTAACCCAGGGCTATGACGAACCAGTGAGAGAAGCCAGCCCCCAACCACCAGTTGATGAAGGATATGGAGGAGAAGAGACTACAGAAGCCCCTGAACCACAAAATACAACAGCAGCCCCTTATGAAGAAGTGACTGAAGTACAAACTACACCTATGCCCCATAACCCATATGATGCAAATGAATATGGAGGAGAGAAGAAGAAGACTGAAGAGAACGAAGAGAACACTACAGACTACAATCAAGCTGGACCCCCTGGACAACAACCACCCACTGGAGAAGAGGAAGAAGGAGGAGAAGGAGCTGCAACGACCCCGAGCAGTTCGGTGGATGAGGGAGAGGGAGGGGAGAATGAGAAGCCTGAGGAGACTGAGGAGAAGGGAGACAATAACAATGGAGGAGATGGCACTCATGAACAGAAGATTACTTATAATGAGACCGAGGAGAAGCCGAGGAATGGAGGAGGAGCACAAGGAGCCTATGGAGGTGAGCAGCAACTTTTTTTTGGAAAATTGCGATCAGTAACTTGTTGCTGTCTGACAGTTCAAAAGTTAATCGGCTCAGAAAATTAATCGGGTTAATTTCCTAGCATAACCAATTCCTTTTCTAGCAACTGGAGCTTTTTAGGCGTTTTGACTTGAATTTAAACGTCTTAGAAACGTGTAAAAAACTATCAGGTTTGAAACGGCGTGAATTAAGTGGATCAAAATTGCTGTTTATTCCATTTTTTGCCTTCCGAAAATCAGAATTTTTCAGGTTACTCGGCCTCCCACGGCGCTCCGGTAGCTCATGCTCCCCAGGGCACAGTCAGCCGTCAACTCGTTGTCCGTCAACGATCCCTCTCTGGTGGCCATCAGAAACAGAGGGTATTCATCGATTATGGAGACAATGGAAGACCGCAAATTTATGCCAAACAGGATCAGTCACCCACCAGCATTCAGGGTATGTCATTTGGAGCGTGCGGTAGTTTATAATTGTGTACTGGCTTTGAAACTACGACTTGCCGGTCAGATAAACATCTGGAATGAGCAGTGATTCGACATTACCTAGTTTCCTCGAAAATCCATGTTTTGGAAAAACTGCATAACCTGCATAACGCTCTAAGTCCATTATATAGCTTTTAATTAGTGCATTTTAATTATCCTTCGATGTCCGATAGTAAAATACAATTCAAAATTTTATTTTATAACGCATCCCAAATACCGTAACCCTGTATTTTTCAGATAAAGCCTCCGGAGAGCAAGAAGAAGAGGAGTACCCGAAGAGACGAGGCGCCCGTTTCGTCCCATTCCATCAGGTTCGACACCTCTTCATCTAAATAATCACAAATTATAACTTATTATTTATTATTTACTATTTATTGCTAACTTATTTGACTGCCCTCCCGCAAATTGCTCAATCGAATCCCCGGTGGATAAGCTCAATTTCTCCAGCCGTCCTGCCCCGTTTCACCACCTGCAATACTGTTGTTTTTTGTAAATAAATTATTTGATATATTTATTGGCTTTTCTGACATGCAATAAATTAAACTGGACGCTTACAATAGACAAATAACCGAATTTTAGAAAAATGAAGCCCATTTTGAGCAAAAACTGCATAGCGTATTTTCGTACTGTGGGTCACGGTATTTGTCATTTTACGCATTTTTGGATACCAAATAAAACGATTCCGCCGCAGAAATATCCTAGAACCCCGAAGATCGCGACTTTTCAAAATTCCGGCCATTTTCAGCAAAAACTGCATAACCTGCGTAACTAAATTTGGTCTTCTAGAAATGTGTATTTATCATTTTTAGCTTTATTGGATACCAGATAGGCTATGTAATTAAAGATCGGCTGGAATCCAAAGGACAACCGCGTGCCCCTCATAAAAGTTGCAAAAGGCAGCCCACTTCCAGGGCAAATTCCACTCCCCTGCCAGACAGAGTGGACAAGGGAAAGAACGGGGAAATGGAGAGATATAGAGACAAAGAGAGGCCAGGTAAATGTGTGATTTCTTATCATTTGACCCGCATCCCTTTCGAGACGAGTTGACAATGAGAGCGACCGTCATAACCCCCGGTTTTGCTGCCGACCCCCTTCTTTTTTTGGGAGGTGTGTAGCCTGGAATTTGCCCCTTCCCCATTTCGTCACCTGGCTTTTCTGATTTCTAAAAAGTTAAATGGCTGCCAGATCGCAATTTCTACTACAAATGGCTTCAAAAATAGCCACGGTATCGCGGGAAAAGCTCCCAAAATCCGGCCATGTTGCGCTGAAGTTGGCGTTTGAGGATGGAGGTTAGTAAAATCTATTTAAAGTTAAAATTTCTAATTCAACTATCAGAACAAATGACGAATGAGTCAGTCAAGATCTATCTCTTGTAACTTCAAAAATTCATACTTATATATTTTTACGATTTCAAATTCAATTTGCATTTGAGGATAGGGGTCAGCAAGAAAAATTTCTAAAATACTAATTTCTTCTAAAATACAGAAATGATTGAATAACACTGATTTTAATAGATACAATGACAGTCAGTTCAAATATATCAAATGCCGAAAAAGCAAAAATCGTGCTTTTTTTGCAACTTTAGAAAAACTGCGGGTACCCCTTGTCTGGCTACGAGATCATTGTCGGAATACTGCCTCGTACAATCATCAAACCGAACAAAGAAAGATGGATTGTTGCGGGCTGACAAGCAGAGCAGTCCTACGGTAAGCAATGCATATTTTTTAGCAATTTTTAGAGGCACTACCTTTTGAAAAGAAATGTGCAATCTAGGGCAGACGATAGAGCGATTCGAATTAATTCCGATGGTATACTAGAGATCGAATGGTTAGATGGGCTTCAATCTAGCTTCACTGCTGAGCAGGTAAGCCAAAAATGAAGCCATAACCCCTAGAATACAGAATACAAACTACAGACCACGAAATACACCTATTTCCAGCTCAAATCCTGGGGCCAGATGTCTAAACCCGTAAAATCCAGTGATCTACATGAATTATGGACTGGTATCTCGCTCAAAGAAATGCCGCGTATTCCATTGTAACTTTAATTTTAGCCTTTAAAATATAATGTTCAGGGATCAGCTGACCGTTCACGAATTTACACGACTTTTTATACGATATGGCTTTGTGCTTGTTGATGGGGTGGCGGGGACGGCCGAGGTAAGGAGAGGGTTTTTGTAGTTTGAAGCTTTCTGGCCGGATGATTTGTATGCTGCAGTTTGTATATCAGCTTGGCCTTTTGACCGGTTTCAAGACATCGGCTCACCGATTTTGCTTATTTTTGAGGCTATTGTGGTAGTCTGTAGTTTTTTAGTTGAACTGCCAATTCGAATATTTTTGAATTTTGTGGAATATTTGCCTGCCAGTTGGTCCAAATTCAAGTCTAATTCTATCCTATTCCAGGCCACCGAAAAGCTCTGCCGCGAATTGGGCGTAATCCACGATACATTTTTCGGTGCTTTTTGGGTGTTCAGCAATAAGAGCCACGAGAGGACGGATACGGTATTTCGCACGATAAAATAGACTAAAAAATACAATTTAGGAAGCATTCCACGAGGATACGGCGTACAGTTCCGAGGGAATCGGTCCTCATACTGATGGCACGTATTTTCACCAAACGCCCGGGATCCAGGTCTGTAGTTTGTATTTTTGTCTGTCTGTCTGCCATCCATTTCATCTACCTTTCTGCTACTTTATGAAACTACCGTATTTATAGGTATTCCACTGCCTCCAACCAGCCCCAATCGGAGGAGAAACGCTATTGGTTGATGCTTTTGCAGCCGCAGATCACCTCAAAGGTGGTGTTTGCCTTCAATGGTCCTTTAAAAGATATGCTTTTCCAGCGAATGACCCAGCTGCCTTCCATACACTAACCACACAATGTATTGACCATCAATATCTTGAGGTATCGCCTAAATGAGGCTATGCAATTTTTCGATTTTCAGGGTATGGGAAGCAATGATCGTCGACAATTAATCACCAGAGATTTACCAGTGATAGAGCTCGATACAGATGGAAACTATCGCCAAATACGGTATGTTGGGAATTAAATGGCGTAATTCAAACTGGTGGCCTTTTTTTAAAGTTTTATTCTTTAGTCTAATTTTTTGGGGAATTTGGCCGTCAGTTTAACGAGTTATCACTATTTTCTGGCAATCTTCCAGCCCAACTAATTATTAATGTTTTTTTCAATTAATCTGACTGCCCGTTTAACAATTTTTAATCTTAATGATGTATCTTTTATTTTTACTTCCAGATTCAACCCGTATGATCGTGCGCCATTCAAATCCCTATCGGGCAGTGAAGAAGACGCAGAAAAAGTGGTGGAATTTTACAGGGTTAGTCGATTCTATCCATTTCTTTTTCTATGTAGATCTACAGGCGTAATCTACCATATTCCAGGCATACGAAGCATATTCCCTTCTCACCCTCTCTCCCTCTCGCTCTCTCCGTATCTCTCTCCAACCGGGTACCGTCATATTTATCGACAATTTCCGGTTGCTCCATGCTAGGGCTGAATTTCAGGTATATTCTGGTGTTTTTAGAGTATTAAAAAAGGGATTTTGTCGGTTTTGCAACTAGAAAATTACAAATATGATAGCAGCGCGTAGCACCGAGTGACAAAACGTGATATTGACATCGTAATTTCATTTTTTGGCTTCCCAAAACAATGGAAAGCCCTTCAAAAATTGGTAAACCGAGGTCTCGAGCGAGGCCCAGGTGAGTTGTAATACAAACCGTCCAGAGTGAGGTGATTTCTATGCGCAAACAGTGGGCCAGATGGGGGATGAGTCCGCGGACAGAAAGGATGACATCGAAACAGGCCTAAATTTCATCCATCTATTGGTGCGCGCTACCAATTACGCTATGATATTGCAAATCAAAATCTTGTTCTTCAATGAGAAACTGGTGCAAAGAAGCGTAAATTAGCAGGATCTGCCCAATTTTTAATCTTCCCTTTCCTTTTCGAAAATTCGGCTTAGAACCTCCGGTTTTCTCGTAAATTTTTAATATAATGATGGCTTTCTATTATATAGTTCTCCTTTCAGGGTGATCGTACGATGTGTGGTTGTTATATGTCTCGAGATGATATACTGGCAAAAGGACGCCCATTTATTCTACCGGAAGATTGGCGAAGATTGTATTAACGCGCAGAATACGGGTTTTAAAGCCAATTTTTGCGTTTACCTTGTAAATAAATTGTTTTGCTTTCTCTTACGCAACACCAAATAATTACTCCCTGCCAAATCAGAAATGATCACGTTCAACACCCTCGATCGATGCTTGACACACCTACCCAAGGCCTTTTTATTCAAGGGCTCTTCCACGATGATTACTACCAGATTTTACACGGTTATCTTTACGCATAAGCTCCAAAGCACCCAGAATCCATGAATCGATAGGCCAATATCTTCCACAAGGTATTTTCGGGGCTTCGTTATCTTGCTGCCGGGCGGGTTGGCAAGCTGGTCTTGCGCCGCTCAAGCGCATTGATTGCATTTCGTAGGTCGATAGAGCCTAGTTGCAAGATTCACCAAAACATTTTCGAGACCCATTTTCCTAACGCCAACTTTTCTGGAAGCTATTATTTTTCATCCACAAACCGAGAAAATTGCTTTGAGCGTGTAGCCCCAGGATACGTGCCAACTCTTCAAAAATAATTTTAGCAAATTCAGCTTCGAGTTTTAACGGATTATTTAAGGAGAATGGGCGCCGGCCGTTCCTTCAGAATGAAGAAGGGACGCGATGAGGAACCAAAAATCGAACATCTGTAAGTCGCCTTTAGTTTCGTAATATTGAAAGCTAACTGGGCCCGCCCCGGAGCCGATACTCGAAAATAGAAGCCCTATCACTGAGAGACGAATCGTCGCCGGAAAACCGATACTGGATGCCGATCACGATCAATGGTTGAAATTCTTGGGTAGTGGCGGACAAGGGGAAGTATGGCTACTCCTGCAGACTGATCCGTAAATCCTTATCCGTGACAGTGATTCATCCATTTAAGACAAATGGTGATGAAGAAGGCATTAGACACCCAGGAATATAGCAGTTATTTGAGGGAACTACGCACTCTGAAGGTAACTTTTTCAAAAAATATTACGGAGCCAAATTTTAGGAACTTTCACATGAGAATGTCGTTCGATATTATGACTCGCCAATGAACTATCCGGGCGTCGATCGGGACGAAATTGCCATTTTTATGGAATACTGTAGCCACGGTTCTTTACGAGATGGTAATATTTATAATTTCGTGGCTACCGTCAATTAGTCCTCAAGGACATCAAAGTGATCTATTCAATGGCAACAATTGCTAAATGGTCGACGGAGATGTTCAGCGCCCTTGAATATATCAAAAGCAAGAAGATTGTTCATCATGATGTCAAGCCGGATAAGTAAGGCACGACCATTCCCTTACCAATTCAAAAAAAAGCTTGTTTGTATATGGCAATGATTATACGATTAAATTGGGTGATTTCGGAATTGTCCGGAACCTGAACACGATTTCGAATGGAAGAGCCGGGACACCAGGATATATGGCACCAGAAGTACTGAGCGATGAAGACCTGACAAGGAGTGCCTTTTGGGTGTCATCGGCAAATTCCTTCGAGACCTAGCTCATTCGATAGAGAATTCGATTCTGAACAAAACCCCGTTGTTCTTTTTTGCAGAATGGCTATCCCTGATTTTATAAAATTAAAATACTAGTGACCGTCTCTTACCATTAGTGCCTTTCGAGCCAAAAGAGAGGCTTTTGGGTGCAGTTTTAAAATTTTATAAAATCAGGGATAGCCATTCTGCAAAAAAGAACAACGGGGTTTTGTTCAGAATCGAATTCTCTATCGAATGAGCTAGGTCTCGTAAGGTTTTGCCGATGACACCCAAAAGGCACTCCTTGTGAGTGGAGAGGTTGGTAGAGAGTGTTAAAATCAAAATCTGCCATTGAGGATGTCTATAAATGTGATATTTATGGAGCTGGATGGGTGGTGTTGGATATGGTTAATAGAAGGTATTGAGTGGCATACTTTGTTGAGTATTGTTGAGACAACCCGGCCATAAGGATATTGATGGCATTTTGAAGAATAGGCCTCATTTATATACTGTTAAGATGCTGATAAAGGGGTGGGCCAGCTATTATTGTCAATATCTGTATTCACTTAGGTGCACAACAGATGAGGTCGTAGCACGGTTTTGTACGGAAAAGGCGCTGGAGCTATGCGATGAAATCACACAGGTAGATTATGAGCTTTTAGGTGCAACCTCATGGTGATTTTCGCTTAGCGTGTCACTTCCATTCTAAATAGACATTCCAGGAGTTCGCCCGTTTTTATGCAAAGCCGGATCCTGATCGACATAGCAATAGATTGGAGCGGCCGATGGGTTTCGATGAAAATGAGAGAACGTTTCTTCAGCCCACATCCGCATCTAGCATTAATTCCTTCTGCTACGATATTACAGTTTCGGAAGTGCCACGGCAGCCGGAACAAATCCGAGATCCGAGAGAAAGCCTGCTCCACAAATTCAAAGTGAAATTAGGTCTTACTACGAAATTTGAGGAGAACGACATTCGTGCTTGTCGCTGGCATTGCAAGCGCGTCAATTTACTCGAATCTGGTTGTGACTATGCAAGTGGTGAAATGAATTGTGACCACGAGGAGTGCATGGAGCTCAGACAAGAGTCATGTAGTGAGATTCTCGCGAAATTGTCGGAACTGACGATCGAAGATCAATACAAATGTGCCGAGGAAATGGAGAAATTTTGGAAGGTGGAAGCGCAGACTATGGTCGACAAACTGTTACTGAAATTAATCGATGTCGACGGACTGGAGGCGATTAGTTCAGCAAGAACCTTGGCACAACCAATCGCAGAAATCATTGACATGTTTATGCATCTGATTAAGGAAGATGCGCGGCGGCTAATAGTCGTTCAAGACACAGCTGTCAATGTTCTGATTGAAAGTGATATTGGAAGACTACCTCATTGGGATATCTTGCAATTACTCGAGCATGCCATTGAAGAATTTGAAGAAGTGGAGAAATTGTTTACAGTAAGAATCATCTATCAACTGGTAACCCTCGAGGATTCACGCCATTCATATTTTCATATGTGGTCTCTTGGAAGATTCTTAAGAAAAGACTGTACGGAGGTTCGTTTCTGTGAAGGAAATGCAATCGAATTGAATTTTCATTCGTCCGAAGAGGTGGAGCCATTAAATAATGAGCAATTACGAAGGGCACTGATTGATGCTCGCACTTCTATAAATCGGAAATTACGCATTCAACGTGTTGCCTATGAAAAGGCCCGTTGTGATGACGTCGGTCGCTTTGTAATGAAAATGTTCAAATGGTCGGAGACGATGGATGAGGATGAAGAATTGAAAAGGCTGACATCAATGACCCACCATCCCTTTCCAGGATATGTTTTCCTCTACGGTCTTCCACCCACGCATAAATGTCCTGAAGGGGAATGCAGCGTTGCTGGTGGATTTCCTAGATGGATTGAGCCTCAATTCCAAATCCCCTTTTACAAATGTTTGGCAAGAAAGCAAATAGATTACATTGAAGACTATACATTCATGGTAATCGCTCTGAAATACGCTGCTCGATGGCAAGACACAAACCCTTTCGTGTCAGGATTGCTTCAACATGTCTTAGCTGAACTTCGAGCAAGGCGAAGAGAGCGAATGTTTTATTTCGCATTGTTCAAGCTAAGCGATGGTTCTAATGCGCTGTTGTTTCAATACAATCCATCTACACGCCACGGAACGTTTGTCACGAAAAATATGGGGCTTGTGTATTCCGAAGATCCGGCCAAATTTCTACGATTCATTCTTGTCCGCCTATCATATCTTTTCCGGATACTGATCGAATTGAAGAATGCTGGTTGTGTTGGCCCTCTCCCCGATGACATGTGGCCGTTGATCAACGAATTTTGGGAGAAGGTCATGTCAGTTTGAGCACTCAATTCCCAATATTTTTTGTTTTAGGGCGGATGAATCGGCCGAAGAATGCGACGAAGACCAATCAGAATCCTGTCATATAATCTGACCATATTCAAAAAAACTCAATAAACTGTAGGTTCCCTAGCTGGTTAGGTTCGTACATCGGAATTTTCGCTCACTGAACATTCAGGATCCACTAGAATGGGATGTGTAAATCGAAGGCCGCCCCGTCGCAAATCATAGAGTCAGATGTGTCGTGCATGCAAACAATTTGGGTTCTTATTGTTAGCCTCAATAACTGCCAAACTAAATAAATTTATGGTTTTTGGATGACAGAAGAAGTATTGGTATTGTAATAGATAGCTGGTTGATGTCTATAGTCGTTGAGTCTTCTTGTTCTTCTGATTTCTCTTTCATTCATGATTGCTGATATCATTCCAAATAGAGAGAGAAGACATAGATGGATCGGAAGGAGGAGACGGCGAATGGCAGAAGATGTCTGAAATACAAAATATAGCTTGTAGATTGAAAAAAAAACATTCCTAGCCATTTTTAGTTTTTTTTTTGGACGAAAAAATCGACTAATTGTCAGAATCTTTCAGTTAAAAGCCCCTGGAAAAACTTTTAGCCTGAATTTCGGCTTTTGAAAGCTTTATCTGTCAGATGAACGTCAAAATTCTTACCCCATAATATCGATCCTCCAATATATCAACCAGATGCACGAGTAGGGCACAAAATAACATCGGGATGTGGGCTATCTGCAATTCAAAACGTTAAAAATATCGATTGGCAGCTAAAAAAACTTGAGCCAACCTGGAAAACGATGAAAACGATGAGGAGGGGGCGATTTGTGAATAGTATTCCTGTAGCCAAGATGAGACCCGAAATTGCAGAACATAACAATACTAGCCACGAGAGGAAGATCGAAATTCTGAAATTAGGGTGTCATTGGAATTGAATGCCAGAAAGTTCCTTGACGGGCCGATTTGTGTATTTTAATAGAGCTAAGCGCGTTAGCGTTAAAAACGGCTAATAAACAGCTATGTGAACTTATTTTCTGGCCTAAATCTCTATAAGATTTTTTTTCATCTCTTATTTCTTATTTTTCAGGTTATTTGATTACGCTATGAAATTCCGGACCCTCGGATTCGACCAACCACGCAATAACATTTGCTTAAGATAAGCTAACCTAAGACTAAAATTAAGCTTTTTGATTACGATATCAAATTCTAGGCGCTCGGTTTCAATCGATTACGCAATGAAATTGTCGACAAAACTGTACAATGTGCCCCGCGGAAGTCGAACCCGCCCCAAATTGTATGACATTTCGACAGTCAAATGATAGAGAAGAACAGCATATGTAATGAATAGCAGAGAAGAGGTGATTAGACCACAGATACGCTGACAGTGCATTTGTATTAAGTAGATTTTGTATAGAAAAAACGAAATAGAGGATAGTGGAATGGAGTGGGAAATGATTGGGGGAGGAATGGCTTTTTGTTTATATTGGGAATTGAGAGGGACCGAGTTGGAATTTGATATTTTTATTTAACGAAAATCGGGGTGTTCATCAACAAGTTTATCGAAAATTAAATAAAAAACAAGTTTTGAAAGGCAATTAAATTAATTGCTGTCCAACTTACAAGGAAAGGGCACACGCACTGGTTGGAATTACGAAAAACGCTCTCGACTACGGAGAACACGGTGCCGTTATCCGATTTTTTTGCCGTGGCCTGTGGACAGAGATACAGCACTTCCAGAGAATCATGATTTGCATGCGAAAAATTAGCATCCGGTGCAGGTATATTGGACTCCCTCATGTCATTGGGATTAGAGTGAGGGAGGCCTAGGCTAAAGCCTAGGCTTGCCTAGGCTTCCTCAGGCTTTTCTAATTTGCATCGCCCAGGCTGAGCCTGGGCTATGCAAAGTACGCCTGACCTCTAATTAGTCAGGCTTTATCCGGAAATTTTATGTAAAGTCGTAGTATATTCGAAGTTTTGCCGAACAAATAAGGATTTTTTTGAAACTTCCGGGGGTTCGAAGAGCTGTATTGGGACCAAGAATATTTTACAAAGTTAGGGTACTGTTTTTGACAAACCTTACGGCACGATACGTTAATGGCACGCGGATACACAAAAGTCAAGAGTCGGTTCGAACGGGTGGGGGATGCAATTGGCTCTCCTGACATCCTGCCTATATTTTTCCCACCTTCGGCATCCTTGTAATTTGTTATTGCGTCAAAGATACCAACATTTTAGATGCAGTAACCAGATTAATATGTTTTTACGCATTGCATAAAAAGCCTGCGTAAATCCTTAGGCTTCCGCCAGGAGTCGGCAGGCGCGGAAATGCAATTCGGCCCAAGAAAGCCTGAGGAGGCCTGCCGCTCCCTCACTCTAATTGGGATCACCGGCGGAGTGGCCGATTTGTAAGCAGCTCGCTTGATGGGTACGAATCCGTTGACGATTTTTTGCGTTTTGCTTTTTCCCTTTTTTGCATTTTGCATAAGTCGGGAGCCTTTTATAAATGTGTCCAAAGTCGCACATTACACCGTTTTTGACGTTTTTAAACGAATTCGATTTTTCTCCGCGTCGAGCGCCTACCGTAACCCTTCTTGCTATCCCGTGTCTAGTTGCAAGCGTGCAACCAAATAAGTGGGACCAGATTGTAGCTTTAACCATAGCTCCACAGCAATTTTGGAATCCGGATTAAGAATCGGCAATAAATTCTGCACATGAGATGCGGGGCCCCGTTCCGAATTCCCAACCTAAGTAAAAACACTTTACAGTCAGCTCAAGAATCGATCCGCAATTTTTGTTGCACCCATAAAAATACTTTCTTTTTGATTGGTGGATTGGGGATTGGCCGGGAAATTATGCGACAGAAAATCGGTCAAGGTGTGTGCTCGAGGGAGGGAGAGGGAGACAGAGGGAGGGAGAGATAACCCCCCCCGAGGCTACCGATCTTGCGCGACGACCCTCCTCCCCCTTGCGTTGCTCTCCTCTCTCTCTCTCTCTCTCTCTCTCTCTCTCTCTCTCTCTCTCTCTCTCTCTCTCTCTCTCTCTCTCTCTCTCTCTCTCTCTCTCTCTCTGCTCTCTCTCTCTCTCTCTCTCTCTCTCTGTCTCCCTCCGAATTCCAGGGTCACCCTCCACTCCACCCCTTCCTCCCTAGCCTATTATCCATATATCCTTCCATATCCATCTGCCACTATCCGCAAACGCTACAGTTTTTTAATAATTTCAAAAGCCAGTTTCTGCAAGCAAAGTCACTTTGATGACGATACTCCTAGACCGATACTCGCCGTACCTGGCCAATTAGAGGATAAACCAGCGCTGACCCCCCGCTACGCGGGGGTTCAGCGCTGGCCTCCCTTCCCCACACAATTTGAATTTTGAGTTTGAATGCAGAATTTGGCTGAATTCCTGGACGCGGGCGGACAGACGGACATTAGAAATTTATATATAGTAGATCACGACTTATATAGATTATTATAGTTGAGATCGGCGACGCGTCAACAGTATTCAGCTGGTAATATTGGAGGGAAATTGATGCAGCGACGAAAGCGTTCAATCTCTCCCGGATGGAAACCGAAAATATTCCCTGAAACAATGGTATCAATTATCGGATGCTATTTATTGTTTTCAGGTTGCCGAGAAACGGATAAGAAGTGCTTCTGTGGGTCGACGGGAAAAGAAGACTTTTGAGTGGACAGTCAGAAGAATGCCGAAAATACCGTAAGAAGGGAGAGAGAAAGATAGATATATATGTGGTTATTTGAGTATATGGTGGCCATTCTACAGTACCCTTCGTCGTCATATCTATCGTCGTGATCTTATATGGAATACTTTTGAATGCAAATACCAGGTATAGCTAATGAATTTCCTATCGTAATTATTGATGTGAAGGCTTCGTGGTATAATTGGCAATCAACAGCTTCTATTCTTCTATGGATATCAATGAATGTCTTTATTATTCTCTATATTCCCCCTCAACTACGGCATATGAGCTTCTTCTTCGATTCGGTACGTCGTAACTGGCACATTTCCCGTATCCTTCATCTTCATCCATATCCAAAATTATCTATCCTGATCGGCACGTTTCCGGCTGGTCGGCGGCGCTTTGCCACGCAATTCCATTTCCTAACCACGAGAAGGAAAATCGGTACGCGGCGCCCCTATACGCGCTGAACTGTCGACGGGCGGTGTATTTCGTACACTCTCCGCGGAAAAATCCCCCAATTTTGCTTATCTCGAAAATTTCATAGGAACATTGAAAAACAAGTTAGATTAAAATGTTCTACGAAAAATTGCTCATCTTTTGAGACCACGGTATCGAAAATCTATTCTGGTACTTTTTTTGTGATAAAGCTTTGAAGTTTTTCACCTTCATTTACGTGTTTCTTGCTAACTTGACAGCATTTTACTTTTAATGAAATCAGAGCCCATATTTCGCAAAATCAAGGTCGATTACCCTCAATAGCGAAAAACTAGCTTTGAAAATGAATGGAACGTCTGTTTTAATCAAGATACACCCTGGTTTGCCAAACTGCTATTATCTTCCGGTTTCCGTTCTTGGCAGTTTCTTAGCGGAAACTCGATCGAGGAGCAAAACGCAAAAAGGTTGGCAAGCAGGGGCGTAGCCAGAAAAAAATTTCGGGGGGGGCCCCAAAAATTTTTTCCAAAAAACTCAAAACATTAAGGAGAAAACAGCGCCGCAGGCAAAATTTTTTGAAAAAAAGGTTACATAGCTCTACAAATAGCCGTAAAAAGTGAAAAAAATAGCGCCGCAGGCAGCAAAATTTTTGAGAAAATCAAAATCATAAGGGTCCCCCCTTCTGAAATTTTAGGGCCCCGGCCGATTTCGGGGGGGGGGAGGGGGGGGCCCGGGCCCCCGGGGCCGGTATTACGCTACGTCCCTGTTGGCAAGGTAGGGGGCAAACACGCGAGCACATGGGGCCGCCAGGAGTAGAACCCGGACCCTCTGTTCAGGACTTGGGATCGGCGCTAACCGACTGCGCCGCCCCTTTAGGGGACCCTATCCGTGCCTCCGTGGAATACCGTGTTGCGGCAGTGCACGTCAGCGGAAACTGTCGAATCACAATCGAAACGGTTGAAAAACGGCGCGGAAATGGTTGTGGGACAGAGTAGTATCGATTAGTTGAGTATTCGAGACCCAACGGCCAACTAAATAGCAACATATGAACCCGAGGGATCTATTAGATCTCCACCGTGTCCATAATTCAGGGGATACAGCCGTAAATTAGGACGAATGTTTAGGTGATTGCGGATTGGACGGACGGGCCATCGGGGATGAACATCATCGAACAATTCGTCGGTATCGCCACCCTCGTCGTCGCTGTGTTAATGGCAGGTGTGTTAGTGGGATTTCCATGCCCCTTTAAAGGAGCACAGAAATGGCAAATCTAAGTCCATTGGAAGGGGCTTCTCCAGGACAGAATGCCAGGGGACGCGGCGGGACTAGAGCCCTCTGTTTTTTCCTTTCGCGCCGAAAAGTTTTTCTTCGTGATAGCATTGTAATTTTCAAAATCCGAACTCATTTTTGAAAGCCTCATCAAATTTTACACCATAATCATCGAATTGGCCCAGAAACGCCCGGCCTCGGGTTTGCTCCGTGGTGAGCACCTACCGTAACCCCGTTTGCTATTCGGTAGACGATTATCGGTCCCCCAACCAGAACAACGAGACTTTGTTATACGTTTAATGATAATATTTAGCGTTCATGTTGGTCCCACTGAAAACTCCGACTACCCTTGGCACGCTGCGAAAGGAACGGGTAACGTTTTTGTTGTCATGCCTCCGTAAAAAACAATTCGAGCATTTTAATGGCCAACCCACTAGCCAATTCGTTGATTAAACCATTTGAAATGCATTTACAACGTTTTCTCACACCTTATTGTATTTGTAGGAAAATCTGCTAAGACGAGCCCTTTTAAAGTCGGGTTTCGACTGCTACAGTGTGTGTCAAAACGATAGAGCCACCTCTTTGAACGCTATTATCTCGGCCCTCGTTGAGTTTGACGCCAAGTTAACTAGCAGGTCTTGTAGCGCTCAAAAAGACGCATTTTTCCATCTACTTGAAGTTTTTCAAAAACAGAGCACGCGATTTTTATAAAGCAAAGAAGAAATAGAGCCAAAAAAACAGTAGTGTCAAAACGATAGAGCCACACCTTACATATCATTAGCATCAAGTTTAAGCTTGCAAATTACATTCTAATGAACATTCAAAGTAGCTTTCCATGTCTGGCTTCCGGATTTTTCAGGGTGATGTCAATCTGCATAGATTTGAACTTCGTATTAGCAATCAGCATGTGATTTGCAATATCAAACCTGATGCTAATGATATGTAAAGTGTGGCTCTATCGTTTTGACACACACACACTGTATTGGTGGATACCGATTGTGGGTCAATGCCGTTCAAGCTTGCGCCGCAGGCTAAGGAATAAAGCCAACCTCTCAGGCTAGGGCCGCAGGCTTAAAGAAGGAGCTAATCGCTCAAACTTGCGCCGCAGGGTTTATGGCGAAGCAAGCCGCTGAAACTATTTCCACTGTTTCCAAACGAAGTTTGACTCATCAGAGGCCCGGCCTACTTTGCATAGGCAAGGCTCAACCTAGGCCATGTAAATTAAAAAAGCCTCAGGAAGCCTAGGGAAGCCTGGGCTTTAGTCTAGGCCTCTCTCACTCTACTCCCAATTTCACCATTTCAAATCTATTTCATAATTTTTGTAAATTTTCCAAATCTTAGTTTTCTCAAATCGTTGAATTTGAAGGTAAGTTTCGTGGGCAAACCATCGTTTTTTCGTAACGTAGCTGTTCAATAGGCTGGCACCGTCAAAAATGTCAAATTTAAACTTGAGCCAAGACTACCCTTTTTGCAGGAGAATCTGCGAAGAGGAACCCTTGTGAAATCGACGCTGCCCTCCAGTGGCTGGATACCAATTGTGCAATGGTGGCGCCGTCAACTGGATATCATTAAGACGTATGAATGCGAAGAACAGGTGAACACGCATTCAATCGCCGACTACCTGCTTACAGGGACGTAGCGTAATACAGGCCCCCAGGGGCCCGCCCCCCGAAATCGGATCCAGGATGCAAGGCCAAGATTTCATAAGTGCAGCTTCCCCGGTGCTATCTGTGCATCTGCCAAGGCCTCCCCGGCAGCTAATGATAACATTTTGCGGCACGGCACCTAACAAAATCTTGGAAATCTATAGCAACGGCTAATAATACTAGTAAACAAATTGTTTGAATACGTCGGATGATCGGAAAGTTCTTGAAGATAGTAATTTATATACAATACACAGTATCGAGGTCAGTAAAATATTTTTTGCAAAAGTGCCGTCAGAGTCTGGTGAAACCGTTGGAGCTGTTGGTAAAGGTAAGAGAAATAATTTTGCACATGGTGAAACCATCCTATGTATTCAAACAATTTGTTTACTGTTATTATTATTAGCCGTTGCTCTGGATTTTCAAGACTTTGTTAGGTAATTAGCGCGGCAAAATCTTATCATTAGCTGTCGGGAAGGCCTTTGCAGATGCGCAGATGGCACCGGGGAAGCTGCACTTATGAAAATTGGCCTTGCGTCCGTCGCCCCCCGAAATCGGCCGGAGCCCGAAAATTTCATAAAGGGGGACCCGTATGATTTTTATTTTCTCAAAAAGTTTGCTGCCTGCGGCGCTATTTTTTCCCGTTTTTACGGCTATTTATAGAGCCATGTAACTTTTTTTTAAATTTTTTGCCTGCGGCGCTGATTTCTCGTTAATGTTTTGAGTTTATTGGAAAAATTTTTGGGGGGCCCCTCGAAGTTTTTTTCTGGCTAGGCCCCTGCCTGCTTATCAAGGAAGACAGGGAATTCTGAGGACAACGGTCAAATCTCGAATTTTCAGAATTGTGACATTCTGATCTGAAAATATTCTTAAATTTCGCGATTACGATTTTCACGGTTGCAAAATGTCGAGATTCCGACTACAGGGTGGGTCAGAAAATTGGGCTCTATACCGGTAACGGGGTCCATAGAAAAAACCGTGGTCCATAGAAAAAACCGTGGTCCTTAAAAAAAACCGTGGTCCATAACAAAAACCGTGGTCCATAACAGAAACCGTGGTCCTTAGCGGAAAATGGCGGAAACCGTGGTCCATAATAAGTATCGTGGTCCAATGAAGGTATCGTGGTCCATAAATCCGGAAAAATTGGCGGTTATGGACCACGATACTTATCGTGGTCCATAGAATCGGGATTTCAGCCAAAATAAGGACCACGATACCGGACAGGCCGCAAATCGCCGGTTTTCGCGATTTTTACCAGTATTTTAGCTGTTTAAAGGCATCTGCATCTGTAGGAAAGTTTCAAGAGCCTATAATTGTGGTTGCGAAAGGCATTAAAGTCTAGAAAACCTGAATGTCTGGGAAAGACTGATCTGGGAAGATACGGTACGAAATCCGGTACTGTTCTAATCCGGTACTGCAAAAATCTACGCCGGGAAAACCGCAGGCGAGGAGTTTACGATATTTTCGCTAGTTTTCAGGGTTTCTTGATTCCATAGCAACGAAAAATATACTAAAAGTGTAATTATAGCCCAAAATAATGTAATAGAAAAAAGTTACAGCAAATTCAAAGATACATATGAAAATGGGTTTGAAACTGAGTTTTGGATATTTTTCTATTTTTTGGATGATTTGAAGACGCGATTAGATAGCGCGTCAACAAATAGAAACTGAAAATAATGTAATATAGGAGGATTATAGAAAAAATCTTTGAATTTGCTGTAATTTTTTTTCTATTACATTATTTTGGGCTATAATTACACTTTTAGTATATTTTTCGATGCTATGTAATCAAGAAACCCTGAAAACTAGCGAAAATATCGTAAACTCCTCGCCTGCTGTTTTGCCCCCGGCGTAGATTTTTGCAGTACCGGATTAGAACAGTACCGGATTTCGTACCGTATCTTCCCAGATCAGTCTTTCCCAGACATTCAGGTTTTCTAGACTTTAATGCCTTTCGCAACCACAATTATAGGCTCTTGAAACTTTCCTACAGATGCAGATGCCTTTAAACAGCTAAAATACTGGTAAAAATCGCGAAAACCGGCGATTTGCGGCCTGTCCGGTATCGTGGTCCTTATTTTGGCTGAAATCCCGATTCTATGGACCACGATAAAGTATCGTGGTCCATAACCGCCAATTTTTCCGGATTTATGGACCACGATACCTTCATTGGACCACGATACTTATTATGGACCACGGTTTCCGCCATTTTCCGCTAAGGACCACGGTTTCTGTTATGGACCACGGTTTTTGTTATGGACCACGGTTTTTTTTAAGGACCACGGTTTTTTCTATGGACCACGGTTTTTTCTATGGACCCCGTTACCGGTATAGAGCCGAAAATTGTTCCGGAGTTTGTCCCCGAATAACTCGAGAAGGAAACATATTTCACCATGCGTTACATGTCAGGAATAGAGAGTAAGACCAACTTTCGATTTTTGGGTACGCAACTGTACTATTGACGCTGGTTACGACGAAAATTGTGCGTTCTCGAATGGGTAGTGGGAAAATTCTGATTATTGGCCGAAAAATAGTTAAAATTTGTAGAAAGGTAATAGCAAAGTCTTAGAATTTTTGAAGGTCTGGTTATTTTTTACAAGCGAAACAAATTTTCACCATAGGTTTTTTAAATACGCGAGAATTATGAAATTGTCCCACACTAAATTTCAGAGGGCTGTAACTACAAAGCCAGCCTTTTAAAATTCTAAAATTCCGGATGGGCATAGCGACTATTTATCGCTAGCTATCCTGTAAAAATGGAATGCCTTCGACCAACAGAAATTGAGAAAAATGAAGTTTTTCCTGAACGCACATTTTTCGGGTGGCATTTGTATGGGTACGTCGCCAAAAAGCGAAAAAATCAAGTTGGTCTTAATCTCTATTCCTGACATATTTAAGCATTCTGGCATGGTAACGCATGGTGAAATATGTTTCCTTCTCGAGTTATTCGGGACAAACTCCGGAACAATTTTCTGACCCACCCTGTATCACCCCTTTTTACTACAAAGCCTGCAATAAATTTGGAACATGTTTCAGCAGGACCGCTACACTTATTACCTATCTTTTCGAAACGTCAGCGATTTGGGTACGGTTTACTTCACACTATCTTGGGTCCACCGATTCATGTCGTCAACGCCAGACACCAGGCAGGTTCGTAGATCAGTCCGCTCAAATTTTCCTTAAATCGCTCACAAAAACTGCAGATGGGTAGAATCAGCTTTTTCGATATATGAATCCATAGGCCTTGGGATAACCCTCCTAGGGCGATGAAATTCGAGGAGATATAGGATCATGAAGGTTTTCCAAAAATTGCCTGAAAATTCGATGCCTTTAACTGGAGCAAAACACTCAAAAGATCATCGAAATCGGGCACTGGATGGCCGAATTAAAGGTGTTGCGTGCAAATTGCGCTATGCAAATATGGTTTTCTTGGCGGCTTCATTGGTTTGGTTTCTTTGTTGTTTTCTGAAAAACTTTTTGGGCCTACAGGGTGTCCCAAAAAACACCCCCGGCATTTCGCCGTATTGCATCCTATACAGGGTGTACAAAAAAACGAATCATCTGGCATTTCGCCGTGTTACATCCAATCGGCCCCAAAATTGGACCAGAGGTGTATCAAACCCTAAATAACAACAATATAGCCCGATAGCTACAGACGTTTTAAAGTTATAACGAAAATACTGTGTTTCCCGCAACTCTCAACAGTTTTTTCGGCTAACTTTTTGAACTTTGCATCGATTTGCATCGCATTCCAGCTGCGAATCCATAATTTCGCTTTAGATCTACGGTAAGTTTGCGCTGTAAAAATAGCCTCAATCAAAGCTTATTTGATAAATACATTACATACATTTTTGAGTCGATAGGAGCGCCGCGTTGCCTAGCCCTTAGACCGCCAAGATTTCGGGGCGTGACTAAACATCGAGTAATCAGTTGCATTACGCGGCCTAAAAGGTTGTCACTTCTATTGCGCGCTCCCGCGAATCAGTGTGTTTGAGGGCTAAAAACCCGCCCGTGGGACACCCTGTATATCTAGAGGCCCCTCAATTTTGGGGCGTTAAGAAGAGATAGAGCTTCCCAGGACCTATCGAAGCATGCATCAGACGTTGCAATTGGACGTGTCGGCGGCTTTTTAGAGCGATGACGTCCCGTGGTATCCAATTCAAATATTGTTATCCTAAGTTTGCGGGCAATGGCTAAACTGGCATCCAGCCAAATGCGACGATCGAATGTAGGAAATCAGCACATTTTTTTAGGAGTGGACTCCAACTAACGCCCGGGATTTTTTGCAGAGGCTGATTTTGACGTGCTGCTGCTACTTTTACACTTTTGGTAAGTGCTCTTCAATTTGCGAAAATTTTGGTATTTTCTATAAACTTTCTATCCATAATGGTACACTCCTCTCTCGTTTTGAAACCCTGCTCGGTGGTGGGAAATCGGCTGTCCGGCGGCTGCCCGTCCCCATTTCCCCTTCCCCATCTTTCGTCTTTCCCATGGTTTAGTGGTCTATAGCGCTTGCCCCAGGCGAACCGCGCAGTTTCGATTTTGCTCGGCGGCGATCTTGCGAGCTAGAGCATCGATCAATTCATGATCTTCAAATTATCAACGAGACCGGACTGTACAATGAAAGGAATTCCATTCACTATGCCGCATTTTCTTACCATGCAGATCCATCAAATCGATGAATGCGCCAGGATACATTCAAAATCGGCGTAATTAGGGGATTTGCTTATATTTCCGAAAATCCGAGCCGGCAAATCTTACTCCGGAAAAAATCCCGAAAATCCCGAAAATCCCGAAAATTTGGCTACTGATTTCTAGCCTTCCTTCTCCCATAAAAACCCAACCCCTGCTGGTTTTTCGAGACTTCGATTTTTCGGAGCCAGGGACGTTTCGTAATGTCAGCCTCGGCGTCATGAAAATCGGAAAGATCATGTTTACTCTTTAAAGGCGACAAAGATTAAAGCGTTGGAAGCAAAATAAATGGTGTGCATTTCATTATAATTTTATCACGAAAAGCCAACGTGCGGAAAATGCGGAAAACGCCGTTTTTGAAATTTTCAAATTGTTCAAACTTCTGTAGTTTGTACGTAGGAGATTCCCGAAATTCTTTCGGAAAAGGCTAAACCGGTAGTCAGGCTACAAAGTACAATTAAGCAATTCCAGTCGGGCATCAATGGCGTCGCCCCAAAAATGTGCACTCCCGCCCGGGGCAATGCTGTCCACGTCAACCTACAAAGCACACTGTGGCCGCCTGGCGACATCAATGGCTGATAACTGTATCTTCCCATATCCATCTTGCCCCTATCCGCAAACGCTACAGTTTTTTAATAATTTCATAAGCTAGTTTCTGCAAGCAAAGTCGCTTTGATGACGATACTCCTAGATCAATACTCGCCGTACCTCGCAAATTAGAGGATAAATCACGACTTATATAGATTATTATAGTTGAGATCGGCGACGCGTCAACAGTATTCAGCTGGCAATATTGGAGGGAAATTGATGCAGCGACGAAAGCGTTCAATCTCTCCCGGATGGAAACCGAAAATATTCCCTGAAACAATGGTATCAATTATCGGATGCTATTTATTGTTTTCAGGTTGCCGAGAAACGGATAAGAAGTACTTCTGTGGGTCGACGGGAAAAGAAGACTTTTGAGTGGACAGTCAGAAGGATGCCGAAAATACCGTAAGAAGGGAGAGAGAAAGATAGATATATATGTGGTTATTTGAGTATATGGTGGCCATTCTACAGTACCCTTCGTCGTCATATATATCGCCGTGATCTTATATGGAATACTTTTGAATGCAAATACCAGGTCAAGCTAATGAATTTCCTATCGTAATTGTTGATTTGAAGGCTTCGTGGTATAATTGGCAATCAACAGCTTCTATTCTTCTATGGATATCAATGAACGTCTATATTATTCTCTATATTATCCCTCAACTACGGCATATGAGCTTCTTCTTCGATTCGGTACGTCGTAACTGGCACATTTCCCGTATCCTTCATCTTCATCCATATCCAAAATTATCTATCCTGATCGGCACGTTTCCGGCTGGTCGGCGGCGCTTTGCGGCAGTGCACGTCAGCGGAAACTGTCGAATCACAATCGAAACGGCCGAAAAACGGCGCGAAAATGGTTGTGGGCAGGCCCGTACGAGGGGGGCACCGGGGCCACGGTCCCCCCCCCCCCGAAATTGCGAGACGATTTTGACTTCTAGAAAACCTATTTTTCTACATTTTTTTTGCCTGCGGCGCTCGTTTTCATTAGTGCACCATTTTTTTGCTGAACCAAATTTCGCTTGCGCGCACCGTTTCCGTTGTGTTTTCACCCGAATTTAAGCGTTACGAACGCGGTTTCTAAATTTTTTCGCCTGCGGTGCTGTTATTGTCGCTATTTTCGAATGTTTTGAAAGTGGCGACCGGGGGGGGGGGCAGCACGGCGATTCATCCTTTAAGAAAAACGCGCACGAGAGGGGAAGACGGGGCTAGGCTACGGCACGCTCCAATCGACGCGTAATTGGTTCTTAAAGCGAAGGGGGGGGGGGTCTGTCTTCTGCGCTTTCAAGCCTCTGTAACTTTGTTATACGGCAGTTTTCATAATCTGAGTGACCGCTCAAAAAATAGAAGAGACTTTGCTCTATCTTTTAATAGTGGTTTTGACAAAATCGAGCGTTGAAAACGCGACTTCTGATGGTTGGCAATTTGAAAAATGAGGTGCAAGGGATCGTCTGAGCTCAAATCCAGCTAAATACTGGCTCAAACGCCTCAACTACATTTTCTGGAAGAGTATCTGTCATGAACTACCCAATATTGAGTCAACTTGGGGTTTTAAAAATTTACGCGACGATTCCAATTCAATGTTTTCTCAAGTTTTCAATTAGCTATAACTTTTGTTTATGACGGTTTTCGAATCTACTAGCAGACTAGGAACTAAGAGCAGAACTTGCTCGATCTTTTGCACCTAGTTTTAGAATAGCCTAGCTCAGAAATTTAGTGAATGGGTCCTGTAAGAGGGTGCGATGAGCTTACGATCTTTACTGGCCTATTCCGCATGGAGAGAAGGTGCTAGCCAGCTTTTTTGGGTTTCATAGGGTTTCTTTTCATTTCATAGTTTTCCTTTATGAACATTTGGAGCAAAACGCAAAAAGAAAACGCAGAGGTTTGCGGCCTTGGGATCGAACCCGCACCCCCCTGTCTCGGGGCTGGACCGCCGCCCTAGACCACTACACGACGCCTCGACCACCCCTCCCGTGCGCGCTCTGAAACGCCGTGGGAGGTCGCCAAAACTTTTTTTGGGTGGGTGCCCTCCCCGAAATCTCGGCTCTCGTACGGGCCTGGTTGTGGGGCAGAGTAGTATCAACTAGTTGAGTATTCGAGACCCAATGGCCAACTAAATAGCAACATACGAACCCGAGGGACCTATCAGATCAGGGTCCCCACCGTGTCCATAATTCAGGGGATACAGCAGTAAATTAGGGCGAATTTTTAGGTGATTCCGGATTGGACGGACGGGCCATTCCGGATGAACATCAACGAACAATTCATCGATATCGCCAGCCTCGTGTTAATGGCAGGTGGGTGGGTGGGATTTCCATGCCTCTTGGAAGGGGCTTCTCCAGGGCAGAATGCCAGGGGGACGCGGCGGGACTAGTGCCCTCTGTTTTTCCCTTTAGGCCGAGCGCCAAAGAGTTTTTGCCTGATTTCTTCGTGATAGCATCGCAATTTTCAAAATACGAACTTATTTTTGGAAAGCCTCATCAAATTTTACACAATAATCATCGAACTTGGCCCAGAAACGACCGGCTTGGGGTTTGCTCCGTGGTGAGCACCTACCGTAACCCTGTTTACTATGCGTTAGACGATTATCGGTCCCCCAACCAGAACAACGAGATTTTGTTATACCTTTAATGATAATATTTAGCGTTCATGTTGGTCCCACTGAAAACTCCGATTACCCTTACCACGCTGCGAAGGGAACGGGTAACGTTTTCCTTGTCATGCATCCGTAAAAAAAATAATTCGAGCATTTTAATGGCCAACTCACTAGCCAATTCGTTGATTAAACCATTTGAAATGCATTTACAACGTTTTCTCACACCTTATTGTATTTTTTGTAGGAGCATCGGCTAAAAAAAGCCCTTTTAAAGTCGGGTTTCGACTCCTTTTGGTGGATACCAATTGTGAATCAATGGTGGCGTCGTGAACGGGATATCATTGAGACGTATGGATGCAATGAACAGGTAGAACATAATAAACACATAAATAAACGTGCGTTGCAGTTTTCCGGCGTTCGAGTGGCGGGATCGTTTTGATTTTTGGGCCATAATTATTTTTATTTAAACGAAAACTTTTTCATAATTTTTTGATCAGTTTTGGGGTTTCTGATCCGCTCTATCCGAATCCGAAGAGACCTAAGCTCTAGCTTATTTTCCCTTCAAGTTATAGTTGGATTCGGGCGGACGGACAGATAGATACCTCTACGGAATTCTTATAGTTCGTTGCTTGAAGCCGGAAAAGTCGACTAAAATCCCTTTTAAAGGGATACCCAAGGTTTTAGCGGCAAATATATAGTTATGTAGTCCGGCAATGGCTTGCCGTGGCCTAATGGATTGTATCCAGGCCTACAAAACGGGGGATCCCTGGCTCGACCCCCGCCTGTGGCAAGGTTTTTGCTTTTTCAGCCCGGAAATGGTTGGGCATCCCGTTAAGGAAACTAATATCAAGCTTTGAACGTTGATAAACATTGAAGCACATCATCGTATATTCCAGGATTTTGCCAAGGAGTAGCTGTATTCAAACGATCCCACCACCAGAACGCCGGAAAACTGCAACGCGCGTTTTTCCTGAACGCACCATATTGGGTTGATTTGTATTAAACGTTGCCGAAAGTCGAAAAATCAAATTGATTCAAATCGGAGTTCCCGGCGCATTTTAGCATTTTGGTGTGCATTCCGAAAGATTTCTCTATCAAAAGTGATTCAACCCAGAGTCCGGAAAAAATTTTTGCACCCTGTATAGTTTTTTGCGGTTGTGATTTTTGTTTTGGCGGTCACTTTTTCGAGCCGGGCTTAATCATGTGTTTCAGCGGGGCCACTATGAGGAGTTCTTCAGTGGTCGAGTAGGCACCGTTTTGTTTGCGAGCTCCATCATCCCACTCTGGATGTCGCGACTCGTGCCAGATATCTACCATTTCATCCATGAGAACACGGGACTTCCCGAGGTATCCAGTTCAAACAATTTCTTCCAAGCTTTTGCGGGAATGGGTGAACTGAAAGGAGATGGTCTCAGCTCGGAATCGAATTCGGTTTTTGAAAATTTGCACATTTATCGAGCTCGACGAGACGAATCGATTGGTGTAACTTTCAGCTGCTGATACAATAACCACGCCGAGTTATAAGCATTTTAAGTTTTTGCATACATTTTGCAATATTTTCGCCATAGCTTCATAGGCCTTCCCCTCATCCCCCATCACCGTGATCTGGTGGCCTAGTGGTGGCCTAGTGGCCTCCGGGGAATCTAACGAGGGTTCGATCCCGCTCGCGATTTTTATTTTTTGCTTTTTCGTCCGAAGGTTCCTCTTTGCTTTCTGAAGGCCTGGAATAGCTTTTTACGCATTATTTTAACTCATCTGATGCGCAGACAACATAGACTTCACCGTAAAAAATTTTTCTTACTGGGTGGGCATGGAGCCCTTGTCCAACAACCTATGACTATTATTTCCAAAGAAATTCTCGCTTATGAAAGTTTTTGTTCGGATAACACACCATTTACCATAGATTACGTTTACTCCTCGATTTTTCATATGCTTTGAATTTTCAGTTTATTTTGGGACCTGCATAGTCCTTTCGGGTAAAAAATCTAATTTTTTCAAAAGAGATGTTTTCAGCCATTTCTCACCAGAGGATTTAAAATAATGCGTAAAAAGCTATTCCAGGCCTTCAGAAAGCAAAGTGGAACCTTCGGACCAAAAAGCAAAAAATAAAAATCGCGAGCGGGACCGAACCCTCGTTAGATTCCCCGGAGGCCACTAGGCCACCACTAGGCCACCAGATCACGGTGATGGGGGATGAGGGGAAGGCCTATGAAGCTATGGCGAAAATATTGCAAAATGTATGCAAAAACTTAAAATGCTTATAACTCGGCGTGGTTATTGTATCAGCAGCTGAAAGTTACACCAATCGATTCGTCTCGTCGAGCTCTATCAGTGTGCAAATTTTCGAATGCGAATTCGATTCCGAGCTGAGACCATCTCCTCGTCAGTATGCATGGGTCGACGCGAGAGAGTGTCCCCTCGAACCGCACGCCCACAAAAATGGGCAGCCCGGTGGCTACCAGAGTTTGTTGCAGGGCGTTGTTCCGCCTTTCACGTGGATTGATTGGTGCATGTTCGCGCTGACCTGCTTCACAATTATAATATGGTGTGGTAAGTAGACTGTGAAATGCCTCTGCATCGGAACCAAATTCACAATTATTGGTGCTTAAAAGCAATTTTGATGATCTCAACATCTATCGATATCTACTCCTCGAGGGCTATCGATTGGTGTTAAAAGTATCGTATGCATATGCCTGTATGCAGAGATATCTCGCTTAGAAGCTTTCACCTAATTTTCCGTGAAACTTCTGAGGCCTGTATCTTCGCGTCCGTCAGTTTCTGTGCGTTTTGAGGGTTGTCTCGTCATAGAGCATCCGAAGATCTACCAAACCATATATCAAACTTTCGAATCGAACATTCCTGCGGGTTTTTATAGCGGTTTAAAGATTTTGTGCCATTACTTTCTTTCCAACCTGATACATTTCAAAACTTGAAAATGGCCGGAACATAGGAATCTCGCGTACTAAAAACAGTTTTTTAAGATTTTCTACCTAATGGGAAATCGGCGGCATCCTGGAAATAGCATAGAAAGATGCGCCAATTTTTTCTACGTTGAATGATGTGTCTTTTAGGACGTTTTAGGTTTTAGGATTTTAGGATTTTTAGGATGTCATTTGTCGATGGCTCAGCGAATCCATACTTCGCAGTTGCATTTTGCTTCAGCTGTTCGACTTTGTTGTCAAAGTTTCGTCCGATATTCCGGTATTCCGGAGCCGACATGCCGATATCGAAACGGTTTACAACACGAAATTTTGTCACGTGACTTTTCGTCATTCGAGATACCGCTCAATCGAGATTCTGTCATTCGAGATTCTGTAAAAATAGCCATTTTTACCATGATATCTGTAAAGCGCGGTCAGCACTATGCTTGCCAATTTAAACGATTCCAGCCATCATACCAGTGCGTCGACCCAAAAACGTGCATGCCCGTCCGGGGAAATGCTGTCCACGTCAACCGACAAAGTACACTGTGGCCGCATGGCGATATCAATGGCTCAAAATCACGACAAATCAGTAAATAAATCCTGAACTTTTCTATAGGGCGGTCCAAAAAAGTGAGGTTTGCATTGAAATAACTGGCTGGGGGAAACGAATCAGATCATCGTTACCGGGCCAAAATGCTTTCATATGCTGGGCATGAAAAAAATGTTTATTTTGAATTTTGAATGCTGATTTATTATGATTTATTATTATTATTAGCATTTTCAACCACAAATAGAGCACATCTTTATTGCAAACCAGCATGATAACCAGCAACACAACAAACAGAAATCGGAGCTTTCAGGTATGGGTGATTTAAGCCGTAGATATAGCTAAACCTCAAGCCAACACAAATGTGGCCCGCCTATTTTTGTAGCCATTCGGGAAAATTCAGGGGCCAATTTTGAAATTTTTATCCGAAATGCTAAAACCAAACAGAAATAATTAATCACCCAACCCCTCGAAAGCTCCGGACATTCACCCTATTAGGCGACTCGTTGGTTTGAGAATCTCAACTGGGCCCATAATACCTGTCCGTAATTCCATATGATGTAAACAAACGAAAAGTTTGTTGTTTCGTACAGTCGAGCGGCTATTAGTCGAATGCCTTGAGCCAACCAAAGCATGGAATACTCGTAGGGGCCACGGATAGCGTTGTTGAGCAAGTAGGAACACACTCTGTCGACGCCCAATTGCAGTACGAAAAAAGCAATGCCGGGCTACGAAATTTTTCGCCCCAATTTGCCCCCAATTCCACTAGTACCGGTAACTGAACAGAAAACGGGTGAACGGGCCTCGCCCGCTAACACCGAAACGGATGAGAAAAAACTTGGAACGCCGAGATAGAGGGGGAAATGACAAACTACATAGCGAAAAAGAGTATGTTTCAACGCCTGGCCTTCGACTGCATCTCGATCAAACGTCTTCGGCGTGAAATCCTGCGAGTGGGGCTTGACCTCGGAGGGTACCAGGTTCTCCTTCAGATTCCGCGTACCGAGCACCTGCAAAAAGAGCCTTTAAAGCGTTAGAGTCTAGTTTACCCCAACCCCTCCCCCCAGCCAGCATTTGCCCCCAGGTCATCCCATTAATGTGCGCAGTATCTCAAAATGTTCCCCTCATCGAATACTCCATTTCCATATACTTTTTAGAAGAAAAACCAGGGTTGAAAAACTGCTTCGCGGCTTTTCAACCCTGGCCCCGTATAGGATCGATGAAGTTAGAAACTTTGCATAATTCTTGCCAAAAACCGCTCACCAAAAAATGAAAAGCGCGCCCTCTCTTCCTTTTTATAACCATTTCCACTTCCGCCGTATGCTAATTGCTTCCTAACAAAGAGATTGGCCGAAAACTTTACAAAAACCTAATTTTAATATCGAAAACAGCAATTTTTCAAAACTTTTAGTATGTGTGTGCAGTCGATTCCGGCCCCTTCTTTACCCTATGACGTTTATTCCCTACCGAAAAAATGCTTCCCTGAGGCTGTAGGTGCGGAACATCCAAACGGAAATGCATGCAAATACACACACGCACGCACGCACGCACGCACGCACGCACACGCACAAGCACACGCACACGTACACGCACACGCACACGCACACGCACACGCACACGCACACGCACACGCACACGCACACGCACACGCACACACCCCGAAAATACTTGGTACATTAATTCTTTATTTCTATTATTAATTACGTAATTATTTCTATTATTAAACACATCAAACTTTTTGCATAAAAGTAAAAGTTTATTAAACAAAAGTGCCCATTGGCAGATAATTTTTATCACATCGTGTTCCCCGTACCTTATTTGATTTTTCCACCAATTTTGGGCCGATTTGGACTCCGTGACCCCAAAACCTCTACATGTAAGGACTGGCGTTAGGAAATACTCGGGCCCGAATCGACAAAACGGTATACGGTAGCGTTTCCACGTTTTAGCAAGCAACCTTTTGGACGGTATAATAAAGCTTGACTATTCTTCAGCAAATTACAGCTTTTCAAAATAAAATAGCATCTTATTGAAGAAAAAAAGAGTTAGTTCTATGCCGGCAGCACAGAAAGCCACGCGTCCACGCTGGTTTTGGAATTTTTCTACATACCTTACTCAATTCACTGTAGACAAAGCGGCGCTATTTCGGAATAGGGGACCCACTTTTATTGTACCAAAACTGGGGTTTGTGCGATGCTTTCTTGGATAGTTTTGTGCGCTGGTTCCGAGAAAAACACCATACTAACTTTAAAACCTAACATTTTCACACAAAAAAATTGATTGCAGTTTAATGGGCTTCTAGGGAGCCTAGCGGCGCAGGCCCAACTGTCGGCTACCATACACTCCTAGCGGTTTTTCAAGCTCAAAACGCATGCATAAATGATGCTAAATGCTAGTAAGCCCGATCTTAGATTCATTGAGACCAAGCCTAGGCCAGCCAGATGAATCTGACAGAAGTCAAGCTCAAGCCGAAAAATATAATAACCCAAGCGGGTTGCCTCACAATTGTGCTGGCTAAGCCAAGACCGCCCGTGCTGTCATGTAAACATCCTATAAAGATAAAATATTTTGTACAAATGTGCGTTTTTACGGGCTGGGATACCGTTTTTCAGCACAAGCGCACAAAATTACACCAGAAAAAGTGGTTTTTAGAGTAATCAAAGTGGGTCCCCTATTCCGAAATAGCGCCGACAAGCTTTAAACTCTGTTAAGAAAGTTAAGAATGTTAAGAAATAAAAATCCGGAAGCAAACACAAAAACTAGCATAAATCAAAACTAAAACCAGAATAACCAGAACCAGCATATAAACTCCCTGTAGTAACTCGAAAAGCTACGCCGCTTAGAAAAGCCAACAAAAATTATCAAAGGCAAAAGCGGAAGGCTTGAAATGAATTCTTTGCCCAACAGCGCGAGGAGCAAGAATAGTTGTCATTGATTGGACGAAGCTTTGTCTACAGTCAAATTTCGTAAAGCATGTAGCAAAAAGTCGACAACCAACGTGGACGCGTGCCTGTCTGTGCTGCCGCCGTCCAAACCAGTTTTTTTTTCAATAAAATTGTCTTTCTTCTTTTTTTTTACCCTTTCTTTATTCCCTTTTATTGTGAAAGCTGTAAAATACTGAAGATGAGGAGAAGACGAATAAGATTTGATGGTACGGTCCAAAAGGTTAGTTGCTAAAACGTGGATCCGCTACCGTATACCGTTTTGCCGATTCAGGCCCGAGTATTTCCTAACGCCAGTCATGTAAGGTCTTCCCTATCTTTTTAAATCGCGTAATCTATTGCGGAATTTTCAAAAATCAAGAATTTTGAGATTGGGACCATTTCCGCCGACAAAAATCGATAACCCGCCTAAATGAAATCTCTTTAATATAAGCCGCTGCATAGTTTTTAAGCTCTGGCACATTTAATAGCGCGACTGAAAACCAAAAAAGTAAATGCCGTAATCGATAAACTCTGGACAGCTCTTCATAAACTAGAAAATAGCCAATAAAAAATATTTGCCGAAAGTATACCTTTTTCTGTAGTTCGTGGCTGAGGCGTCCCTTTGATCCGCGTTGAAAATATTCAGACGGTTGGGTGTTGCCCTGCAGAGAATTGCTCGGCGAATCCTGCAAAAAAAACGTTAAAATAATTGCAAAACGAACTTGAATTTAATCATACAAAATCAATTTTTAATACGCCTAAAATATGCCTAAAGGCGACATAATAATCAGTTAATCAATATTCCTAAACAAAACTCAAAAATTTTTAAAGTTTTGAAAATTTTCTCAGCTTACTAAAGCTTAAAAAAATCCTGTTTTAAAAACCGACTTCATCTACATCGTCCTCCATTCCATTAGCGCTCGTTTTCTGACTATCACTGGCATGTCTCGGCAGCGCTTCTTCCACCTTTTCCTCGTAATATCTAAAAATATTAATTCTCCGAATAAATTCAAATAATGTGTCGATACCTGGAAATATCGGCTCGATATATGCGGGGCACTTTTGAGAACCATCTCATGAGAATGCGATGTGCACATACAACAACATAGATTGAATGCACTTTGATGTTTAGATACGGCACCAGGATATCCACAACCATCTCGAAGTTTTCCTCCTGAAAACCGGGAAAATAACAATAAATATGTCTAGTTTTTCTCTGCTAGTTTTTTACATAAAAAAGCTGTAAATTTTGCCAAACTTAATATTAATCCATACAATCAATGCTAAAAAATCGTTAAAAATAGCCCAAAAATTTTTCCTAAATTATCGCTGCTAGCTCGCCAGCTACGAAATTTCGGTTCTTTAGGATTTCCGGGCCGGGGGGCGGAAACCAAATTTTTTTTCGGCATAAGCCTAAATTTTTTCATAAATAGCGGAGCCGTTTCTAAATGGTTTTTAACTATTCCTAGGCATAAAAACTAGACAAATTTCAATTGAAAAATTTAGTTTTAGTTCAATAAATCCGAAAAAGACCCAAGATGACCAAATTTTTGACTTTTTCAAACTTTTTTGAAACTTTTTTGAAGGTTTTTTACTTTAAATATAGTTAAAATTTACTAAAAACAATGTGAAAACACTGCATATTTGATTACTAGGTCAACCGGGACAGCCAGAATAAAATTGCCCCCCCGGAAATCCTAAAGAACCGAAATTTCCAACTGTCACAAATTTAGCTTTACATCAATACAAGTAAATAATGACAAGTGTCGAAATGGCCTAAGAAGAAATTCCGAAGTCTCTGCTAGGTTTGCCCCTTAAAAATCCCCATAAATACCTGAAAGATGGTGTGCAACATCTCAATGCCACTGGTATCACTCATCAGTTCCAGCACAGGGATTGCTCTTCGAGGGGATGGATCGAGAGAACGGATTGTCAGCAGAATCTGGTGCGCATACAGCGCCATTTGTTCCGGCAACATCTAAATAAAGTCAATTGAAATATTTAATGTAATAAAAATAATTAAAGGACATTAAAAATAAAAAACACACCTGTACAGCCAATCCACAAGATTGTATCGCTTCGGAGTGAGGTCAGACTTTTATCTTGAGACATTCCACAAGAATCCGGCATACTTCTCGTTGACGTTTCTCTTCTAGTGGGTAGTTGAGGATTGCGATGAGGAGTTGGGGAAGGTAGATCACAATCTCCGAATCGGCTACCTAATTCAAAAAAATAATTTAAATTTATATTAATATAATAATATGAATTTATTGTAATTTTCAGGAGTGGTGCGGAAGACCAAAAACTATAGCAATAACTAAGCTCCAGGTGGCAAAAGACGCGAGAAAACGCAAAAATAACGAAAAACACTGAATTTTTGGCTAATTTCGGGCTCATTTGCATCCAAAATTGGCATAAAATCCAAAGCTTTTGCTAGTAAAGCGATCGCGTTTATCGTTACACATAGGATAACGGGGGGGACTCATTATTATGAAATTTGCAATTACTGTAGGATTTTGCGAGTGCCATTCGATAGAGCGTCGAAAAATATACTAAGAGAATTAATTTCAGCCCAAAATAATGTAATGGAATTTTTTTATCGAATAAACAAAAATGGATCAAAATCCATGGGCAGCACATAGGATAACAGGGGGAAGTCAAATTTTCGGAAATTTTCGAAATGTTCGATATTTTGAAAATGCCATTCGATAGTCAAAAAGTCAAGTTCAATGGCTTCTCCATCCATTTCGCTAACCCGTTTGACGTGGGTCATGGGTCTGTTGGTCCAATAGCTGCTTATTTGCTTAAGGAGGTTTTATCGCGTTTTCTCGCGTATCCGGATACCTAGAGCTTTCTAAGAAAGCACGTTATAAGGAGTTTGGCCTTACGCCCCACTCGTGAAAATTTCAGCTCGATCGGAAATAAGGCGGCCAAATGCCGATGGGGGTGGTTTTTTTACGAGACACCCTGTATAGTTGATACATTTTTATAACTACATTAATAAATACCTTTAACGTCTTCAACCGCTCAAACACGTCAATACATCCATCCAAAAGAGCGTCCAAATTCTGTTGCCCGCAACTCATGATGAAATCGATCGACTAAAAAAAAATAGAATTTGAGCTTAAAAAGCAGATTTCTTAAATTAGCCGTATTTTCAAGCAATAATAAATACCTCTAGCGTCCGATTGAGACTTTTTAGAATAGAACGAAGAGCTTTGCAATGCGTCCCTTTCCACAATGCTTCTACAATTATAGGGGCTACCAGATCGAACGACAGCCGCTCGCTTTCCGCCAGTTTTGTCTGAACACAGAAATTAGCTAATTCCATGCCGTAATCGATTACCGTAGAACCCATCAAACATGTGAACGAATTGATGGTGGGGGCGTAGTCGTACAGCTCATAGCGTTCTGAAAAAAATTGCCGTAAAATCCGTCTAAAAACAATTCTAAAAATCGCAAAATAATGAAGACAATTTCGGAAAAAGATAATTCCAAAAACTTACGAATCCGATGGGAAATTGCGCATGCTTGAACGGCAAAACCAGCCGAGAAGATCCGCACTCGAACAGAGCCACCGAGTTCGTGGAATTTTCCTTGCTAAAGAAAAATAAATAAGCGGTTTAAGCCGTCTAACACGCTGTAAATTCTTGATACCGTACTTGATATTGTGTGGAAATATGGGCGACGAAAAGCTCCAAAGAATCCCTCATAATATTGCCGGGGAATTCGGGGAATCGGGCGGCAGTGATGGCACATAATTGCTGGGCAGTTACTTCGAGATTTTCGAGTATTAGCCGGGCCGTGGAAGGGCCTAAATTGTTAAAAAATTAGATTTACACGCTTTAAAATTACCGCTATTAAAGCTGCTGCCCGAATTCTGGCGTTGTTTGAGATGGTTGGCAATTTGGCGTTGATCAAGGTTCGTTTGGAATGAGCGGATGGAAGAATGGGATAGGCGGCGATCACGACGCTAAAAAAGGAAAAGCTAGGAGAAGCCGGATAAAGCCTACATCTCCAACGCCAAGCAATCCTTCATTGAACAGCTTCCGGGCGATCATAATGGCATCATGCAAGCATTGTTCATCTACCGGGATCACTTTTAGGATTTCGAAGAGCAGGCTGATCATCAGGGCCTGAAAAAAATCGTTTTAGTATTTATTTAATTTCAACCTATTTATAGTCCTAAATTACGTTAAAAATTATTTTTAAACATGGTATAACCCAAAACAAGGAAAAGTTACTGTTCCAGGGAATAAAAATGTGTGCAAGACTTTTTAAAATTTGTATAAATAAATCTATTTTAGATTTTCAAAGTAAATTTTTAATGCAAAGCTCTTATTTTACCGAATTAAAATAATTTTTACCTGTATCTTGGGATGTGGCTCTCTGGGGGCAAATCCAAGCATCGGCACCAGTTCCACCTCACACCACCGCCTGTTTTGCTTTAGATATTCCTTGATCGCTTGTAACGACTAAAATCAAGTTTGAATCAGTTACGGACATTTTAACGTACCTTTTCTCTTCTCATATAATTCTGCCGTGCCGGGAGTCCTTTTTGTGCTAGAAAATAGGGCCATAGGGCTTCTCGTAGTTCTTCAATCATGGCCTTTGCGTTTTTCGCAGCGGTCACGAAATAGTCGAGTCCATCGGTCAACGTCCACTGCAAGTATACTATATAAAAACTTAAAACTTTCAAAACCGTGTTGTTTGCGATGCCTTCGCGGTGGCTGTCCGAGTGTTCATGTACCACATTTTCGTTGTGGGCACTCTAGAAGGAAATACGTACAACTGAAAAAAGAAATAAAGCTAAACCTCTTCTTCCTTGACCTCTCGCCTTGACGGCTCACCATCCGTTGGCTCGACATTGCCGGCCGGGTTGGTCGCGTGGCTGAACATCACCGACGAGCCGTCCAATTTCTTGTTCTAAAAAAGGGTTGCATCAATTACGCGATGTAATCATTCTTTACAAAGAAAATTTTCGGACCAAAAAGTGCTAATCGATTATGCTAGCTAAAAAGCATCGGAAACCCGCTTAGTGCGTATTTGCAAGGCGAAAAATCAAAATGGGGGTCCTTTGAATTTCGAAAAAACGTGAATCGACGTTTCTCATAGCAAAAAAGTTGACCGCAATCTTTTTTACGCGCATTCACTTAGGTGGTCACTAAACACGGTATAAAAATACACGCAACTAGCCAACTTTGCAGGCGGATGTGGAAAAAAGACCAGGCGCTCAGCGTACTCCCGCAAAGTTCGCTACAAAACTTCAACACCGACCTCTTCAAAGCTCTTTGCAGGGTTATTGAAGGGCACCGCTCCAACGATTTGCAGAAAACGGCCCGGGTTAGTATTTGCCTTCGACACGTTGGCGTTGACCTGCAAATAGAAATAGATAGTTGCATCGAATTCTCGTACCATGTGGGAATTTAGCAGCATCGTTAGAATGACGAAAAAGAGCGGGCATTTCAGCACCCTGGGAAAGTGCGCCTTGTAGGAGTAGGTGGCACTGAAAATCGGAAAATTGCAAACATTTCTGAATTCCTACTTTTTGGCGAGCGGTTTGACGTAGCCGAGCAGCTGTTCGCCCTCTTGAGGTCGGTCGGCAGCAGGCTGTTTCTTGTTGCCGTCGGTCAGCGACTCCGTGGAGTTCAAGCCGAGCTCGCGCGCTTCCGAGTGGTCGATGGCCTGGCCATTTTGAAGGCTGTCGGAGAGCTAAAAATTTGATTAAAAATATCAATTTTATAAAACCTACTTTCCCTTACCCTCGATGGGCAAAACAAAGCAAATGCCGAGGACCACCTTGTAATAGCTGTCGCCCGGAATTGCACTAGAAAAAACCGAAACATTAATATTTACAAATTCTTTACTTTTTCTTGGCCACAATTCGTATAATCTCAAGAAACCGTAGACTCAGCGCATCTCTCATATTCATCGCTCGAACCGTGCAAATGTGTAGCATCTCTCGCAGCACGTCTTCTGACCTGAAAATTTGGCTTTCTGTTGGGTCAAATTCCAACTTACAAAAAAGCTAGATTCCCATTGACAATATTGATGGTCATTTTGAAGACATCCACGGCAAGAATCGGGTCACTTCCATCGATATATGCCTTTAGCCATTGGAGCACGTGGTGGTCCATTACCTAAAAACGTTTAAAAATAGATAAAAATCATATAAATCGTACTTTTTCGAGTCCTTGAATGAATGTGCCTTGTTTTTTCAGCGCTATCAGCCATTCGTGGCTTCTCGCGTCGAGTTCTGGCGTGCGGATTTTCTAAAAAAGAGCTATGACAATCGTCTAAAAACCCACATCAAAGAATTGTCCCCTCAAAACAATGCAAATACTGTTGAATTGGGTCTGGGTGATGGAGATATAGGCCCTGGAATTGGTTTTATCTCGAAATTTCAACTGATTAAACCTAATAACAAAATCCCTGCAATCCGGATCGGTGACCAGATCGATGGATTGATGCACGATCCCCTCGATTGAAGAGACTTGCAGCGTTTTTGAGATCATTAGCTGAAAAAAAGACAAAACCGTAAAAAAGGTATAGCTATACCTCCTGTAATCTTCCCAACACTCGAATCCTGTCTCTTTTCGAACTCTTCTTCTCGAGGGCATCCCACACGAACCGCGCGATAAAGCCGTTGTCTGTTATCTAAAAAATGCCATTATTGAAATTTTCTAGGACTGCTAACCAGCGGTTCATCCCTGGCCGGTTCGCCGTCTTTTCGGAAGATTCTGCTGAAGAAGTTGCGGCCTAAAAATCGAAAAATCTCGAAATACAGAAAATTTTACCTCCAGATCTCGGACTTCCATCATTACTCGAGGCGGCGGGTTTCGCGATTTTTACGCCTTTGTTAGAGCCCGTACTGCTCGCGCGGGAAGAGGCTCGAGGCTAAAAAAGAAAATTTTGAAATTAGAGCTGGGTTATACCGGTGATGCAGAATTGCCGGGTAGAGAGTCGGCTCCTGAAAAGATAGAGATTTTTAGAGTATATTTTTAAAGTAAAAATTTCGTTGAAAAACACACCAGATTGATTATTATTATTCGAAGATCTTCTCGCGCCGGCCACAATCGCCCCATCTTCATCCAACATCAAATTGTCGACATTATTCAGAAGAGCCTCGGTTCGTGGGGATGAGCTGAATGGCTCATCTTCGCCAGACATTTCTCATTACCCTGAAAAAAGCAGGTTTATAAAACGAATCCTCGAAAATCCCGAAAGTACATAGAAAGAATAGGAAAGCCGGCTCTCAAAAAATATATAGCACATGTTCTAAAAAGCCGTAATAATCACAGAATATTTCTAAAAAGTCTCCGAAAGCCCGAAAAGTGATGATCACAACGAAATATGGATAGATTTCTCCCGAGCTATTTGTGAAAAGGAAAAGCAAAACCAAAGTAGAAAACAACAATGTAACCTAGAAGCTCATTTCATAAAAAACAATAAAGATTTACAGCTTCTTTTAATCGTTTTTCTGATTGTTGGAATGCTGCTTCTTGCTGTCCCACGCGTCGATGAACAATCCAATAAAGACGATGGCCGTGGCAATTATTTGGCGTGTCGATAGTGGATGGGCGAATAGAACGACAGAGATGATGATTGTGAACAGCTTGCGGGTTGTCGTCAAGATCGAGCAGGTCAGTGGCGAGAATTCCTCGACAGTTTTGAAGATGAAATACTGCCCTCCACAGCTCGATCCACATATGATGGCCATCTCCAGAAGGACTTCGGGGTATCGCCTGGCAAAGGAGATTAAGCTGAACAGCTCGCCGGTGGCCAATATCGTGATGGCGAGGAATAGAGAGGAGAAGATGTTCATGTAGAACATCATTGAGAGGGCTGTTCGCTGGTAGTGCTTCTTGATATGATCTTGGATTGCTGTTGTTGTGCCATCCAGGGTGAGAGAAGTTAGCTAAAAATGAGGAATAAATCGAAAACTATAATCTTCACCAATAAAATTTCGCCAATCCCGATTCCTCCCTCAGTTTCGGTCGTTTTCTTGTCATTATACATAAACATTGCCACTCCAATGACAATCATCACCACTATTAGGTATTTCTTCAGAGCGTATCGCTTTCCCGTCAACAGAACACCGCATAGAAGCACCGGAATTGGCTGGCAAGACTTCGTCAGAACCTAAAAAACTTTTAAACAAAAAACTATAAAATACCTGTGTAGGATACGGCAAATACAAAAGTGCCTGATTACTAGCCACCATGGCAGCCAGATAACAGAATGCACATAGAGCATATATCCGCCCGGGGACCGTGTCTTTCGTCTGTTTCGGCAGAAGAATGAAGGCAAAAGCTGCACTGGAGAAACAGACGAAGAACAGCAGCGTTTGGATGTAGATGAACGATTCGTGGGCGGCACCGAATTTCCCTTCGACAAGGCGTTCTTGATAGATTCCGAAGGAGAAGTAGCACAGCAGGATACCGGCAGCACAGATGAACACGTGGACGCATTTTTCGAGGTGTGTACGCTTATTTTCCGGCTTCGGCCTCATCGACATTTTCACAGCCTAAAAACTTTTTCTCTACTTTTTCCAATCTTATTTTCTATGTTTTCAAAATAATTCAAGCATTTTCTTAGCTTTTTCATGCTTTTGGAATCTTCGTGTCTACAATTCCAATGCTTTTCATGTTATAAAAATTTATCAACTACAAAATCTACGAAATGTGTCGAATAAAAATGGTTATCACAACTAGATGGAGGGGACACAGGGATTGAGAGAGGGGACATAGATACCAGGTACATGCTCGGGATTTAGAAAGCAAACAAAAACACGGCAACAAGCTCACAAAATGTAAAACTTAGACCTTGGATGGAGGGGAGGGGGATGATAGTCATTGTTCCGGGGCGGCCAGCGCGATCACTCCACAAGCGGCACGGGCGCCGGCGTTTCCGGTCTTTAGGCTCTCTTCCTTCTTGTCGCCTTCACCCTTGCCTGGAAAGAAGAAATTAGTTAAAAACATAATTTTACAGCTAAATCAGCGTCAAAAATCGACTGAAATGCCTGAAAACGCGCTAAAAATCGATTTTCAATAAAAACAAAGCTCCAAATTGAGTTTCAGCGCGAAAAATTCGATTGAACTGACTGAAAGCCCGCTAAAACCGACCAAGATCGTCGGTGCCGGCGTGGATGACGAGCGAGCGGCCGACGACAGTGTTCTCGCCGTGGATCTGAAGGGCATGTTTTTAAAAAAATGCCTTTACCTTGATGAGAGAGTCCTTGATCTCGAACTTGGCGACGCCATTCGAGTCGGCCTCAACGTTGCCCAGATCCTGACGTGACGAGTTTCGTCCTAAAATAAATAAATATCGAAAAAGCTGCTAAAAAATTACATTGGGGCCTCCGTGGGTCTTGTTGAAAGGGTTGAAATGGGTTCCAGCGGAGATGCATCCATTTGTGGAGTCGCCATACTGATGCACGTGGAAGCCGGGGTTGCCGGGGGTCAGACCACAAATCTCGCCCTTGATCACCGTCGGGTCGCTTTTCGTATCCTAAAAAAGAAAAGATAATTGTAAATTCTCTATAATATTGATACCTGTCTACGATAGACGGTACCCTCAACACCAGCATCTCCACGTAGAACGACCACAGCTCGGTTGCTCATTGTTTGCTTGGCTTCCGGCTGAAATAAGAAATTATCCCCTCGTAAGGCTAGGAATTGTTAACGAAAACACAAAATATAAAAATGGAAGAAATTAGTAATCTTGAAAAACCTTCCGATATTTTGGCTGATCGCGTAGACGAACATCACTACCTTGACAATCTGAAGAAAACAAGATGAGATACGGCCTGAAACTAAAAAAAAGAATAAAAAGTGGTGGTAAAGAAGTAATGTAAAGGAGGCATAAGGTAGCGCCAAGTGCAATTTCATCAGAACGGCTACGGCAACCGAAAAACGGGGAAATCGCCAAATTGCCGACAGGTTATGCAAAAGCCAGTATTTGCACCTAGAATCAAAACGTTATGAAGGCATTCATATCGAGGAGGGCATCCGGTACGTGCAATGCACAATTAACATAAAAATTGCGGTTGCCTGCGGACGTGCCCCGGAAGCTTCATACACCTTCTCCGCTTCCCCTTTACCGTCCGTCTCTTGGTCTAGTGGTCTGAAGCGCAAGCGTCAAGCAAACCTTCCTGGTTCGGTTTTGGCCCACGGTCAGCCCCTACCCAAATTTGGCATATTAAACACCCATGTAACCCAAATATACCCCAGCTTAGACTTGGACTTAAAATCAAGAATAGGTCGGCAGTTGGGCTGTCGGCAATTTAGCCTGTCGGCAACTTGGCTGTCGGCAATTAGAATTTCGGAGATATGGCTGGAATTCGAAAAAAGACTTTTTAGCGCTAAATTTTAAGGAAGTATCGAAAAGTTCGAATCAGCAATCGAGGAGAGTATTAGGATATTCACACTTCAAATTCGTGAAAAGACATCATCAGGATATCCTGTATGTCCATTAGCATTTTCAACCACAAATAGAACACATCTTTATTGCAAACCAGCATGATAACCAACAACACATCAACCAGAGATCGGAGCTTTCAGGTATGGGGGATTTAAGCCGTAGATATAGCTAAACCTCAAGCCAACGCAAATGTGGCCCGCCTATTTTTGTAGCCATTCGGGATAATTCAGGGGCCAATTTTGAAATTTTTATCCGAAATGCCAAAACCAAACAGAAATAAGTAATCACCCAATCCCTCGAAAGCTCCGGATATTCACCCTATTAGGCGACTCGTTGGTATGAGAATATCCACTGGGCCCATAATACATGTCCGTAATTCCATATGATGTAAACAAACGAAAAATTTGTTGTTTCGTACAGTCGAGCGGCTATTAGTCGAACGCCTTGAGCCAACCAAAGGTTCAAATACTCGTTGGGTCCCCGGATAGCGGCGGCGAGCCGACGGGAACAGAATATGTCGACGGCCAATTGCAGTCCACATAGAATGGCCTCCTTCAGTTTCTGGAAAAATCAAAGATTGTTGACCGCGACGATTCAGCATCAAAGGACGTCTAACGATCCGGCCCCCGTGGTACGCGCATTCATTTAGGTGATAAATCTGAAGGCAGGCGCCCAGCGTACCCCCACAAACTCAATGTTTCGCAACGAAACTTCGAAACCAACCTCCGAGTTCGACATGGCATTTGCGTTTTTCGCAGCGGTCACGAAATAGTCGAGTCCATCGGTCAACGTCCACTGCAAGTATACTATATAAAAACTTAAAACTTTCAAAACCGTGTTGTTTGCGATGCCTTCGCGGTGGCTGTCCGAGTGTTCATGTACCACATTTTCGTTGTGGGCACTCTAGAAGGAAATACGTACAACTGAAAAAAGAAATAAAGCTAAACCTCTTCTTCCTTGACCTCTCGCCTTGACGGCTCACCATCCGTTGGCTCGATATTGCCGGCCGGGTTGGTCGCGTGGCTGAACATCACCGACGAGCCGTCCAATTTCTTGTTCTAAAAAAGGGTTGCATCAATTACGCGATGTAATCATTCTTTACAAAGAAAATTTTCGGACCAAAAAGTGCTAATCGATTATGCTAGCTAAAAAGCATCGGAAACCCGCTTAGTGCGTATTTGCAAGGCGAAAATCAAAATGGGGGTCCTTTGAATTTCGAAAAAACGTGAATCGACGTTTCTCATAGCAAAAAGTTGACCGCAATCTTTTACGCGCATTCACTTAGGTGGTCACTAAACACGGTATAAAAATACACGCAACTAGCCAACTTTGCAGGCGGATGTGGAAAAAGACCAGGCGCTCAGCGTACTCCCGCAAAGTTCGCTACAAAACTTCAACACCGACCTCTTCAAAGCTCTTTGCAGGGTTATTGAAGGGCACCGCTCCAACGATTTGCAGAAAACGGCCCGGGTTAGTATTTGCCTTCGACACGTTGGCGTTGACCTGCAAATAGAAATAGATAGTTGCATCGAATTCTCGTACCATGTGGGAATTTAGCAGCATCGTTAGAATGACGAAAAAGAGCGGGCATTTCAGCACCCTGGGAAAGTGCGCCTTGTAGGAGTAGGTGGCACTGAAAATCGGAAAATTGCAAACATTTCTGAATTCCTACTTTTTGGCGAGCGGTTTGACGTAGCCGAGCAGCTGTTCGCCCTCTTGAGGTCGGTCGGCAGCAGGCTGTTTCTTGTTGCCGTCGGTCAGCGACTCCGTGGAGTTCAAGCCGAGCTCGCGCGCTTCCGAGTGGTCGATGGCCTGGCCATTTTGAAGGCTGTCGGAGAGCTAAAAATTTGATTAAAAATATCAATTTTATAAAACCTACTTTCCCTTACCCTCGATGGGCAAAACAAAGCAAATGCCGAGGACCACCTTGTAATAGCTGTCGCCCGGAATTGCACTAGAAAAAACCGAAACATTAATATTTACAAATTCTTTACTTTTTCTTGGCCACAATTCGTATAATCTCAAGAAACCGTAGACTCAGCGCATCTCTCATATTCATCGCTCGAACCGTGCAAATGTGTAGCATCTCTCGCAGCACGTCTTCTGACCTGAAAATTTGGCTTTCTGTTGGGTCAAATTCCAACTTACAAAAAAGCTAGATTCCCATTGACAATATTGATGGTCATTTTGAAGACATCCACGGCAAGAATCGGGTCACTTCCATCGATATATGCCTTTAGCCATTGGAGCACGTAGTGGTCCATTACCTAAAAACGTTTAAAAATAGATAAAAATCATATAAATCGTACTTTTTCGAGTCCTTGAATGAATGTGCCTTGTTTTTTCAGCGCTATCAGCCATTCGTGGCTTCTCGCGTCGAGTTCTGGCGTGCGGATTTTCTAAAAAGAGCTATGACAATCGTCTAAAAACCCACATCAAAGAATTGTCCCCTCAAAACAATGCAAATACTGTTGAATTGGGTCTGGGTGATGGAGATATAGGCCCTGGAATTGGTTTTATCTCGAAATTTCAACTGATTAAACCTAATAACAAAATCCCTGCAATCCGGATCGGTGACCAGATCGATGGATTGATGCACGATCCCCTCGATTGAAGAGACTTGCAGCGTTTTTGAGATCATTAGCTGAAAAAAAGACAAAACCGTAAAAAAGGTATAGCTATACCTCCTGTAATCTTCCCAACACTCGAATCCTGTCTCTTTTCGAACTCTTCTTCTCGAGGGCATCCCACACGAACCGCGCGATAGAGCCGTTGTCTGTTATCTAAAAAATGCCATTATTGAAATTTTCTAGGACTGCTAACCAGCGGTTCATCCCTGGCCGGTTCGCCGTCTTTTCGGAAGATTCTGCTGAAGAAGTTGCGGCCTAAAAATCGAAAAATCTCGAAATACAGAAAATTTTACCTCCAGATCTCGGACTTCCATCATTACTCGAGGCGGCGGGTTTCGCGATTTTTACGCCTTTGTTAGAGCCCGTACTGCTCGCGCGGGAAGAGGCTCGAGGCTAAAAAAGAAAATTTTGAAATTAGAGCTGGGTTATACCGGTGATGCAGAATTGCCGGGTAGAGGGTCGGCTCCTGAAAAGATAGAGATTTTTAGAGTATATTTTTAAAGTAAAAATTTCGTTGAAAAACACACCAGATTGATTATTATTATTCGAAGATCTTCTCGCGCCGGCCACAATCGCCCCATCTTCATCCAACATCAAATTGTCGACATTATTCAGAAGAGCCTCGGTTCGTGGGGATGAGCTGAATGGCTCATCTTCGCCAGACATTTCTCATTACCCTGAAAAAAGCAGGTTTATAAAACGAATCCTCGAAAATCCCGAAAGTACATAGAAAGAATAGGAAAGCCGGCTCTCAAAAAATATATAGCACATGTTCTAAAAAGCCGTAATAATCACAGAATATTTCTAAAAAGTCTCCGAAAGCCCGAAAAGTGATGATCACAACGAAATATGGATAGATTTCTCCCGAGCTATTAGTGAAAAGGAAAAGCAAAACCCGATTTAAAAAAGGAAAAAAGTAGAAAACCGCAAGGCAATCCTTATATGAATGGTTTTTTTCAACCGGTTGGGTATAAAAAGTGTAAAACGACGACAAAAACAGGGAAGTCAGAAGGGGGACCAGCGGGAGGAGGACTGGGAGGGGACCAACGTCAGGCAAGGGGGGGACTAACAAAAGGCCGAAGTTTTCAGCTTTGATCGAAAAAATTTCGTGCTTATAAAGCTTTTTAGAGATTCGGAAACCTAAAAATAACCCTAAATAGTCAGCATAAGGATTAAATCTTCAAAAATTGACGATGCACTCCCCGAAAAAGTGAACCTTTATTTTAAAAGGCTGTAGAGACGGTTTGAAGGTCGTGAAAGAGTGAGATACGTAGAAATCAGCCTGTAAAAAGTCAGATATTTTTAACAATTTGAAAAAAAACGAGGGTACTATTGAAGTTGGGGGGGGGGCAAAATTTTTTTAGGTCATTTTTGGGCTAATTAGTCAGTTTTTCTCTGGCTTAGGCTTAGCTTAGCTTAGTATTGGCTTGGCTTAGGCTTTAGCTTAGGCTAGGCTTAGAACTAGTTTAACCTAGGCTTAGGCCTATGCTTAGCCTAAGCCTTAGTATCTGGTCCTTAGCTTGGCTTCGTCACAGCATCACTGCTTTTGGCTTCGACTTAGCTTTGTTCAAGCTCAATTTAACTGTGCTTCGGCTTAGCTTAGCTTAGGAGATGAGTATTGCGCTGGATTAGCCACGAAAAACTGATCAAGTAGCCTAAAAATGACCTAAAAAATTTTGCCCCCCCCCAACTTCAATAGTACCAAAACGAGGAATTCTATGTCTAAACACTGCAAAAACGGCCGAAATGTCCGATACTTTTAGCAACAGATAAAAAAAAAATGTTAATCCGGGGTACAAAGTAGGTAAAGGTGGCGCCCAAAGTGTCATTTCACCAGAACGGCTACGGACGGTAACCGGAAAAAAAGACATTCACGGCAACTCAAGCAATGGTTTCGGCCGCAACGAAAAATGGGGAATTTGCACCGAGAATGGGGCTACGCGACGCTCCAATACACCCCGGTTTGCACCAAACTCTAGTCTAAAACCGGAAACTTCAAAGCCTTGGTCCAATTCATTTTTAATTCGGTTTTCTTCTGCTTTAGGCACATTTGAAAGAGCGCATTCTCTTGTACAACTCTGGAAAACCACTTTTTGAAGTTAGAATCTAAATAAAAAGTTATAAGCCATCAAAGATTTTCCTCTTAGTATTGTTGGTCGAAAAGAGCCCCGGAATTACATGTCGTAATTGCGGCCCTTGAGATGCCGTGCATTCTAGCTGCTGAATTTCAAAGGGATGCCGACGGCATAGACAATCAGTTACGCGCGGAAAAAGAAAATGTCTCTGCGCCTATCCCCTGGGCGCCCTCTCTGCCTGTTGGCTACTTGCCTATTTGTTGATGAGGGGGGGATCGACACATGCCGTCGGCAGCCCTTTAAAGAGATGAGGACGGCATCTGTTGAACCCCCCATGGGGAGGGGGGTTCAACAGGTCCCGCGGCGAGAGAGGGCGCCCAGGGGAGAGGCGCAGAGACATTTTCTTTCCCTCGCGTAATCGATTGACTTATGCCGCCCCTATCTCTTTAAAGAAGTACCGAAAAGTTCGATTGCATAGAGATGGGAATGAGGGGTTTTTACGGTCCGAGACGAAGACCCTGGGGGGTAGGACAGAACTGCGCCAGATATTTCGGCGCCTACCGAATTCGGCGCACGACATTTCGGCGCCATAGTAAGTGCCGCCTGGAAATAAAACTATCAAGACCATTATTAAAAATCGATACAATTTCGGGACCAAGTTCATCTTGTGCAGAATTTTTTCACTGATTCGAATGCTCTTTGCCAAATTTGTTGCGGACGTTTATTTCAATAGTAATTCGGCAATAATATTAAAACTGTTCTTCAGAATCCAAATTTTTTTGTTCGATTGTGATATCGCTTCTTTTTCCATGTTAAGAAGGGCTAGATCACAGCGGCCCGGCTCCTAATAAAACGTGCGGTAGCTTTGGAAAGGAGGGAAGACCGCAACGCGTGCGATAGACGCGTCGCGAAATTGCGAAAGCAGGCCTGCGCGGCTAAAGACCGGTTGCTATTCCGCGCACCGGCCCGCAACGCGCGAAAAACACGCACAGTACGCCCTTTCCCTTGAACCATCTGGACCGAAACCATCGGCGGTTGTGAGATACGCGTTTTTGAGTTCACAACAATAATTATAATAAAATGCGTGTTTTTTGTGTGTACAAAATACACTTGGTCCCGAATCAGTGCAAGTTGAGTAACAACGTTTTACAGTAAGAACCAGGGTTGAAAAGCCGCTACGCGGCTTTTCACCCCTGGCAATTGCGCGGGGAATTTTCAAAGTGTAGTACTTTGCATAACTTGAGCGAATTTTTACCGCCCCCAAAAATAGCAAAAGCAACCGACCGTGAGCTTGACAAAATCCGAAATGAGCCTGCTAGCGCCTCCTATGCAAATGAGGATATTTCCATATGTTTTAAAATAGCTAAAATAAGGTATAAATCGTCATTTTATTAAAAATCTGATAAGCGTGCAGTAATCTACGCCCCCAACTACCCCCTAAATACCTTTCGACCGGGCCGGAAAATTCTTCCCCTTTCCTGATATCTTGGTAACCCCAAATTTTTGAGCCATTTATGCAAAGTGTCCACACTAGTGTCGGACAGCACCCCAAGAAACGCACCCCGGGTGCCTTTGAAACGCACCCCAGGGGGTCTTTGAAACGCACCCGGGGTGCCTTTCAAACGCACCCCGGGGTCTGTTTGAAACGCACCCCGGGGTGCGTTTGAAAGACACCCCACTCCCTCGGGGGGTGCATTAATAGTGTCCCCGGGTGCCTTTGAACGCACCCCGGGGTGCCTTTCGGGGTGCGTTTGGGGGTGTGTTTTGGGGTGCGTTTCGGCCCCACAGGCGGCAAAGCATAGCAAGGAAAGCCGATAAATAAAAGTATATTTGGCATAGGGATATTACAGATATGTTT